AGCACTGCACTTACTGTACAGAACAAGGAACCTTTGCAATCCGTTTATCAGAAATGTTTTATTTCCTGCGGCCGGAGAACAATGGATGAGTTTACTTTGGACTTAAACTTGATCTTGAGATTGTTTCCTTTGTCTTTTTATGTGTTTAGAAAAAATGACTCATTGTTTCGGGTAAAAGGTGTGAAAGGTGTGAAAGGTGCCATGTCCCATCGGAAGGCCTCGCACCTGGGACCTCCTCCTTCTCTTTATCATGACCACCACAGTTTAAACCCAGGACAATAACATTTCAAACTATGTGGAAGTCTTTCAGCACATCAATTCATTCTTTACTAACTGCCCTCTCAGGAACAAGTCATGAATCTCTAGTTAAACTCCAAATGAAAGACGTGGCAACAACCAACACACAACAATTCTTTCAGACGAGTTTGGAAGACGCTTCCTCGACACTGATCCTGATTCTCGTCATTGCACAGAATTTCCAGACTCCAAAAGGACCAGAGCTGCTGGTGCCTCAGCAGAAGACAGAGCAGAACTAACGCTGCGTTCGGACCGGATCATACGTTGCGTCGGCTTTCAATGCAAAGTCAATGGTGACGCGCATTCAAACTGCATGAGCGACCTGGAATGCACGCACGGACTGCGCGGCAAAGGCGCGGCAGAGGCGCAGGAGTGGAAAATCGACGCACGCGGGAGATGAATTTTGCGGAGCACTTCCTCGGACGTTCGTGCAGCGACCAATCAGAGAGCCGCAAGTGGTCACGGGGACATTAGTGGTCTGAGCGAGCAGACTGAACATACTGTAAACTGCCAGAACAGGAGCTACACCAGGACTAAACCAGGTCTAAACCAGGACTAAACCAGGACTAAACCAGGGTTGACAATGGGGGACATGGTGCTTGTGAACATATGAGTTGTCATGCTCCTGTGACTTTATGCAACTGCTTTGAGCGTGTTCGCCGATGTGGAAGTACCGTTTATTAATAAAATAAACTTATTGCGCACCTCCGTGAACACATACTGCTGTTATATAAAGTCACCTCCGTGAACACACACTGCTGATATATAAAGTCACCTCCGCGAACACACACTGCTGTTATATAAAGTCACCTCCGTGAACACATACTGCTGTTATATAAAGTCATCTCCGTGAACACATACTGCTGTTATATAAAGTTACCTCCGCGAACACGTACTGCTGTTATATAAAGTCACCTCCGTGAACACATACTGCTGTTATATAAAGTCACCTCCGTGAACACATACTGCTGTTATATAAAGTCATCTCCGTGAACACATACTGCTGTTATATAAAATTACCTCCGTGAACACATACTGCTGTTATTTAAAGTCACCTCCGTGAACACATACTGCTGTTATATAAAGTCACCTCCGTGAACACATACTGCTGTTATATAAAGTCACCTCCGTGAACACATACTGCTGTTATATAAAGTCATCTCCGTTAAAATTACCTCCGTGAACACATACTGCTGTTATTTAAAGTCACCTCCGTGAACACATACTGCTGTTATATAAAAGTCACCTCCGTGAACACAACTGCTGTTATTTAAAGTCACCTCCGTGAACACAAACTGCTGTTATATAAAGTCACCTCCGTGAACACATACTACTGTTATATAAAGTGAACACATACTGCTGTTATATAAAGTCACCTGCGTGAACACAAACTGCTGTTATATAAAGTCACCTCCGTGAACACACACTGCTGTTATATAAAGTCACCGTGAACACATACTGCTGTTATATAAAGTCACCTCTGTGAACACATACTGCTGTTATATAAAGTCACCTCCGTGAACACAAACTGCTGTTATATAAAGTCACCGTGAACACATACTGCTGTTATATAAAGTCACCGTGAACACATACTGCTGTTATTTAAAGTCACCTGCGTGAACACAAACTGCTGTTATATAAAGTCACCTCCGTGAACACACACTGCTGTTATATAAAGTCACCGTGAACACATACTGCTGTTATATAAAGTCACCTCTGTGAACACATACTGCTGTTATATAAAGTCACCTCCGTGAACACAAACTGCTGTTATATAAAGTCACCGTGAACACATACTGCTGTTATATAAAGTCACCGTGAACACATACTGCTTTTATATAAAGTCACCTCCGTGAACACAAACTGCTGTTATATAAAGTCACCGTGAACACATACTGCTGTTATATAAAGTCACCTCCGTGAACACAAACTGCTGTTATATAAAGTCACCGTGAACACATACTGCTGTTATATAAAGTCACCTCCGTGAACACATACTGCTGTTATATAAAGTCACCTCCGTGAACACATACTGCTGTTATATAAAGTCACCTCCGTGAACACATACTGCTGTTATATAAAGTCACCTCCGTGAACACATACTGCTGTTATATAAAGTCACCTCCGTGAACACATACTGCTGTTATATAAAGTCACCTCCGTGAACACATACTGCTGTTATATAAAGTCACCTCCGTGAACACATACTGCTGGTAACTCCATTAGTATCAAAGTCCGTCCGCTACTTCCACCACTTCCCGTGCGCGCCACCGCACCCCAGGACTTCTGATGTGAAGTCGCCTGAAAATTAGAGAATGTGCGTCTGGTGAGTAAGGCATCAGCGTTCCAGCGTCGGCGGTGTGAAAGCACCTTAAACTGGGTATAGACGGGCTTAGCAGCCTTAAAGGGAACATAAATAGATATTTGGGATAGAAACTAAAAGTTGGATAATGGATACGAAATATGAATATTGCTTTTTACTGAAGGAGTTTGTTTTCACACTTAGAACAAATAGAAATATAAGCAATTAAGCAAAGTCACTATTTAGTGATATTACTGTGTTTTGAATGTTTACAATTTTCATCACCTTTGATATTTGCCTTTTTTCATACATGTAAAATTATAGATTATATTTCTTGATTTCAGTTCTGATGTTACAATTAAATTTTGTATTCCAATTGTTATTGTTATATGTTGTATTTATTCTCAGACGATTAACGCCCCAAGGGAGGGAAATATTCAAAGATCACTGAGGGAGGGGTAAAGGTGGTCCAAATGAGACGAAAAAATCATGAGTTAATCCAGCAAATGTCTTGGATTGGAGCTATTTAAGGACCACCCGACTCAGAATACATACATGTGAAAACTAGTGATAGTGTTTCAGAGTCAGGAACTTGTGACATGGATTTAGTTACATTAATTTACGTAGTTCTGTTGTTAAGGTTTGAAAATTACACACCCAGCTTTAAAACTGGCTGACGTAAACAGCTTCACTCTGGCGTCTCTTATAATGACCAGCAGATGGCAGTGTGTCCCACCGTACACAGCACATACCAACGCTGTGTGGAGAAGCCAGGGACGTTATAGAGCTGTCAGTGTTGTTTTCATTGAATTTAATGTCTGTAACAGCAGGGGGCGCTCTTGGAAGTGCCGCTGCCTTTAGGGTTAAAAGGGTTTTTTTTCTCCAATTTTTTATTGTTTTGTTAATTTGTATTCATATATTACACTGCGGGCGACAGTGGCTCAGATTCTAGGAACCTAATGGTTGTGGGGTCGATCCCCCCACGGCCATGTCACCCGCTCCCACTGATGTCTGCTGTCGTTGTGTCCCTGGGCAAGACACTTAACCCCACTTTTTTTGGTTGTATTTTATTTTCAGTTATTTTTGTGACACTAAAGACATAATACTAACATTAACAAACACACGTCTTCTCTCAAAGTATTATGGTCTGGATCTGTTTACTGTTTCTGCCACAAAAGGTGCATTTAACTCAAGAATGTAAACAAGGCCAGGCAGACAACGAGAACTACTACTACTACTACTGCTGCTGCTACTAGTGCTGCTACTGCTACTGCTGCTGCTGCTACTAGTGCTGCTACTGCTGCTGCTGCTACTGCTACTGCCACTACTACTACTGCTGCTGCTACTAGTGCTGCTACTGCTGCTGCTACTGCTGCTGCTACTGCTGCTACTGCTGCTGCTACTGCTGCTACTGCTGCTGCTACTAGTGCTGCTGCTACTGCTGCTGCTACTAGTGCTGCTGCTACTGCTGCTGCTACTAGTGCTGCTACTGCTGCTACTACTGCTGCTGCTACTGCTACTGCTACTGCCACTACTACTACTGCTGCTGCTACTGCTGCTGCTACTGCTGCTACTGCTGCTGCTACTAGTGCTGCTACTGCTGCTACAGTACTACTACTGCTGCTGCTTCTGCTACTGCTAATGGTGCTGCTACTACTACTAACGGAAATCTGTAAATGTTGATTGCCAAATTAAAACGTTGGTTTGACATTTACCAATCCTACTCAATGTCGGTGAGACTCACGCCATATTTGTCACTGTGTTGCCGCGGCGATTACAGAAATATCTAATTCTAATGAATGGAAATTCGTATTATCTCATCATCAAACTGTTTGTACTGTATCAAATGTATTTAATTAAACTTGTCTCAAACCTTGCGGTCTTGATAATCATGTATTTAGTTAAATGTTTTTAAAGTTTTAATGGTTTTAATCCTTTTTGTGATTTGAATGTGTTTTTAACTTTGTGCGTTGTGTGATGTGGACAGTGAAGCTTTGTCTTGCACAGTGATTGATTGATTTATTGATTGTAAAGTAACGCAAAGAGATGTATTGGAGTAGCGAACAAAAGATTATGAAAATAATAGCACGGAAATAAAATACATATAAAACCTGAAAAAAGTTGTAAAAGTGAGACAGAAAATTTAAGACGAAGTCTGTATGCCTTGATGTGCACACACATCACTTCCACGCACCTTATAGGCAAAGTGGGTTAAGTGTCTTGCCCAAGGACACAGCGGCAACAGACATTTATTGAGACAAAGCTCTACCAACTGAGCCACTGTCTCCTTATGTCTGTGTCACGACTTCAAATCTCAGTCTCCAGCTTTAGTCACAACACAACACTGTGGTGTGCGTTTATCATTAGTCGTAGTAGAGTCCTCACTACAGCTGTACGCCACATGCTCCGGCTGTGCCACAGGAAGCCGCTCACCACAGCTGCATGTGGACCCACAATGCACCAGGAGTTAGTGCGCAATAAATAGTGAACAAACAGCAGAGATTAAATTCTGGAGTCCACAAACCAGACTCCTTTCAAAAATGACTCTTTTGAAGAACGTGTCCTAAGAGCAGTGAAAACGGGCCCAAAAGTGGTACTGCAGCCTCTCCCACTCTCCCTGACTCAGGTTGCCAGATATGCAGACGAATCCAGCTGGGACCATAACAGCTGAATAGACAAGAGTTTTGTCAACAACAAATCTATAACCAACACCTTTTTCACAAAGATAGAAATCCTGGTTTTATTCCTTGTTTTGTTGTTAATGATTTGAGAATCATAACGAGACCTTTTTTAGTTCTGCGCCACATGGTACTTTACCAGTGAGATTAGCTCCACGCGGTGAGTTCTAATGCCCAGATCACAGACTTTCTAATTGGTGAATTAGGGCCCTTTAATGATGGCACATAAGGGCCCTTTAATGATGACAGATTATGGCTCTTTAATGATGACAGATTATGGCTCTTTAATGATGACAGATTAGGGCCCTTTAATGATGACAGATTAGGGCCCTTTAATGACAGATTAGGGCCCTTTAATGATGACAGATTAGGGCCCTTTAATGATGACAGATTAGGGCCCTTTAATGATGACAGATGAGGGCCCTTTAATGATGACAGATTAGGGCCCTTTAATGATGACAGATTAGGCCCTTTAATGATGACAGATTAGGGCCCTTTAATGATGACAGATGAGGGCCCTTTAATGATGACAGATTAGGGCCCTTTAATGATGACAGATTAGGGCCCTTTAATGATGACAGATTAGGGCCCTTTAAAGATGACAGATTAGGGCCCTCTAATGATGACAGATTAGGGCCCTTTAATGATGACAGATTAGGCCCTTAAATGATGACAGATTAGGGCCCTTTAATGATGAAAGATTAGGGCCCTTTAATGATGACAGATTAGGGCCCTTTAATTTTCTCAAACCCAACATGTTTTTGACGTGTGGGAGCGTTTTGCTGACACACTTTGAACTTCCTTTTCCTTTCTCCGGGTTTGGCTCCAATGAGAAAAATCACTTCCATGTTTCAGGAGAAAACAATAACAGGAAATGAGGTTGGATTGAACGACAACAAAATCTGGAGAAGCCGCTCAGACTCTGATCCAGGTTCAGTCTCTTCTTCTTCTGCTCAAATCATTAGTTTGACTTTAGTTATTTACAAAATCTGCAGATACCAAATTTAAATAATAATATTTGATAACTCTTTGCTGCACCAAACTGGAATGCCACTTAAAAAATATAAGTACAAAAATAAAAATGCACACCTTCAGCAACAAAAAAATGGTTCAGAGAAAATGGTTGATTCTGACGTTTGTGAAGAAGAGAACCAACTGTAGTTAAAAAGTTTACTGTAGGATTTTCTTCTTCTTTGGTGGAGGCGGTTCTTTCCTAAAATTCAAGTATCAAGTGTATTCTTTTCACCACCTGCTCTCCAACTAACATTTCAAGAGTCAATTGCAGAAACCTTTCATCAAAATTACAAACAATGTATAAATTGGCTTAACTTTGATGTGTAAAAAAGTGATCAATAAACACGTTTTAATAATCATAATCATAATAATACATTTTATTTCTTAGGCGTCTTTCTCACACTCACTCATTTTCCTGTAGTTAAGAAGCTGAAATCTGAATGAATCTGTCATAGTCTGCCGTGCTTTAACATGCATAGACAGACTTAGACATACAGAACTTAAACATACTTTCCTCCTGCTGTTGTGCCTGGTTCTCCTCCTGCTGCTGTGCCTGGTTCTCCTCCTACTGTTGAGCCTGGTTCTCCTCCTGCTGTTTTGCCCGGTTCTCCTCCTGCTGTTTTGCCTGGTTCTCCTCCTGCTGTTTTGCCTGGTTCTCCTCCTGCTGCTGTGCCTGGTTCTCCTCCTGCTGTTGTGCCTGGTTCTCCTGCTGCTGTTGTGCCTGGTTCTCCTCCTACTGTTGTGCCTGGTTCTCCTCCTACTGTTGTGCCTGGTTCTTCTCCTGCTGTTGTGCCTGGTTCTCCTCCTACTGTTGTGCCTGGTTCTCCTCCTACTGTTGTGCCTGGTTCTCCTGCTGCTGCTGTGCCTGGTTCTCCTCCTGCTATTGTGCCTGGTTCTCCTCCTGCTATTGTGCCTGGTTCTCCTCCTGCTGCTGTTGTGCCTGGTTCTCCTCCTGCTGTTGTGCCTGGTTCTTCTCCTGCTGTTGTGCCTGGTTCTCCTCCTGCTGCTATGCCTGGTTCTCCTCCTACTGTTGAGCCTGGTTCTCCTCCTGCTGTTGTGCCTGGTTCTCCTCCTGCTGTTGTGCCTGGTTCTTCTCCTGCTGTTGTGCCTGGTTCTCCTCCTGCTGCCATGCCTGGTTCTCCTCCTGCTGTTTTGCCTGGTTCTCCTGCTGCTGCTGTTCCTGGTTCTCTTCCTGCTGCTATGCCTGGTTTTCCTGCTGCTGTTGCGCCTGGTTCTCCTCCTGCTGCTGTACCTGGTCTCCTGCTGCTGTTGTGCCTGGTTCTCCTGCTGCTGCTGTGCCTGGTTCTCCTCCTGCTGCTGTGCCTGGTTCTCCTCCTGCTGTTGTTGTGCCTGGTTCTCCTCCTACTCTTGAGCCTGGTTCTCCTCCTGCTGTTTTGCCTGGTTCTCCTCCTGCTGCTGTGCCTGGTTCTCCTGCTGCTGTTGCGCCTGGTTCTCCTCCTGCTGCTGTTCCTGGTTCTCCTGCTGCTGTTGCGCCTGGTTCTCCTCCTGCTGCTGTGCCTGGTCTCTTGCTGCTGTTGTGCCTGGTTCTCCTGCTGCTGCTGTGCCTGGTTCTCCTCCTGCTGTTGTTGTGCCTGGTTCTCCTCCTACTGTTGAGCCTGGTTCTCCTCCTGCTGCTGTGCCTGGTTCTCCTGCTGCTGTTGCGCCTGGTTCTCCTCCTGCTGCTGTTGCCCCTGGTTCTCCTCCTGCTGCTGTGCCTGGTCTCCTGCTGCTGTTGTGCCTGGTTCTCCTGCTGCTGTTGCGCCTGGTTCTCCTCCTGCTGCTGTGCCTCGTCTCCTCCTGCTGTTTTGCCTGGTTCTCCTCCTGCTGCTGTGCCTGGTTCTCCTGCTGCTGTTTTGCCTGGTTCTCCTCCTGCTGCTGTGCCTGGTTCTCCTGCTGCTGTTGTGCCTGGTTCTCCTCCTGCTGTTTTGCCTGGTTCTCCTCCTGCTGTTGTGCCTGGTTCTCCTCCTACTGTTGAGCCTGGTTCTCCTCCTGCTGTTTTGCCTGGTTCTCCTCCTGCTGCTGTGCCTCGTCTCCTCCTGCTGTTTTGCCTGGTTCTCCTCCTGCTGCTGTGCCTGGTTCTCCTGCTGCTGCTGTGCCTGGTTCTCCTCCTGCTGCTGTGGCTGGTTCTCCTGCTGCTGCTGTGCCTGGTTCTCCTCCTGCTGCTGTGCCTGGTTCTCCTGCTGCTGCTGTGCCTGGTCTCCTGCTGCTGTGCCTGGTTCTCCTCCTGCTGCTGTGCCTGGTCTCCTGCTGCTGGACCTGCTGGTGGAGATGGCAAAAGAGCAGATTATAGAACGACTTTTGTAAACATTTCTTACTCACTTTAGCAGTTGTAATGAAAGTGCAGACTATAACAACTACAACACGCATATAGTATACCATCAACGAACATATTTATGGTTCAAACTAGTTTTAGTTCTAGCAGCAGTAGTAGCACTTTAAAATCTTCATACACAACGTCTCTGATGATTTGTGTTCAGTTTCCGAGAGCAGGAAGCAGGATCAGTCCAGGAGGAGGAACAGGACACATCCTTTATGTGCGTCCGTCACACACACACACACACACACACATCCACACACACACACACACACACACACACACGCACACACACACATACACGTTTTTGTTACCTGGTGGGTCCCTTTGACAGGGCCGTTCAGAATGGGACCCATAGACATAATCTTTTTTACTGGGACTACTTTAAGTAATGCAAAACAGTCAATAGAAAACAAACAACTCTTTTAAAGGAAGTTTATTTTAGATTTTTTTTTCGAATTGCAGTGATTCTATTTTTGACATGGAATTTAATGCCACTCCATGTCCGATGTCTAAGGTCATCTGGTGAGGCATTAATGCAGGCCAGGCAGTGAGACTTCCCAGGGACCTTTCCAGTCTGTATGAAAGGTGTCATGGTCTTCTCCACAGCCTTCACCTCAGATGCAGACCATGGCTTTCTTACACGTTCTAGGGAGAGAAATAAAAATATATTAGCAATATACACTCCCAGGGTTAGGACCAAGCAGCCTGGCTGTAATCCCCCACCTGGTACACTTACCAGAAGGGGCACTGCCACTACCATGGGGTGCATCTGGATGAATGGTTGAAGGTTCTCCGCTTGAAGTTTCTTTTAGCCCGTCCGTTTGTGAGAGGATCTCTACTGCTCTCCCTGTCGCACAGAAAATAAAAATACAAGTGGCCTTTAGGGGAAAAAAATCATACATATTTTAATAATATCAAGAATTACCTTCAGGCTCAATTTGTATCTGGTCGAGGCTCTTTCCTTCGAATTCCGTCACTCTTCCCTGCTCCATGGCCATCAACACTTTGCTGATTTTGGCCAGCTCCAGTGTCCCCTCTGGTAGTCTGTAATATTGTCTGTGGATGCGAATGTCATGGCCGGGGAAGTTGGCAAGTATGTCCATCTCATTCTCTTTCATATTGAGAACTGTAGACATAGTAGCTATGTGCTTTCTAAGTTTGGTTGAGGATAGCATCTCTGGATGCACCGCACCACATTCTTTGGCTACCTGGCGTAGGGAGTCTGATCCCCTGATGTGGGTGTCTGAGCCCGGGCGGGAGAAGAAGTATGGGTTATGGTCAGAGATGGAACAGGCCCTTCTGTTCTCCACCAGCACCTCCATCGAAGCAATCATTTCAGGAGTCAAAAGAACCGGCACTTTCCGACTTCTTTTCCCTTTAATTTCAATGCGTTGAAAATGCTGACACAGCTTTTTCTCAAGTTGGGACAGTCCCAGAGCAATGTCAGAATGGATCCCAGTCTTACTTCTTAAGGTAAACGCTGTCAGTGGCATCTTTGAAACCTCACCTTCCCTTCTTCGATTGAAAATAATGACCTCACAAAGAGACAAAACTGCCAGTTTAGACCAATGCTTAGATGTTGGCTCACTTATTAGGGTTTGCACATATTCAGGTCGACATACCTCAATATGTGCATGCATGGCTCTAACGTCCTCAGTCAGAGGGAGCAGGTCCGGAGTGTTCCACTTGGCTTGCCGGAGGGTCTGTAGGGCAGCAGAAGAAACACAGACGTCCCACCTCTTCTCAAAAAGCAGCCGGCTTCGTTGGAGGTTTTTAATAAATAGTTCATCAACACAATGCTCAATTTTTGAGTCACATTCAAGAATATCTGCTAGCTTTCTGAGGCTATGGCCGAGTTTGAGGGCCAAGGATGGAGTCTTGTATTGATTTGTTTCCTCATCATATCCAGCCACAGACCTGACTGCATCAATCACATGGTTAAAGTTGGAAGGAATAAAGAAATCCTTAATTGTTTTCAGTTTCCCTGCGGTTTTTGCTTCGTTAATTAACCTACCGACTTCTCTCATTTTCTGCCTAATGTAATCATGCTTAGTCTTATCATGCCCGTGTTTTAAGTACAGGTGCTCTCCGAATCTCAGAATCCCCTTTTCTGCTTTGACAACACCCGTGACCTCATCCTGATGCATTGCCGAAATTAAAGACCACAGCTTTTTGCTGATGCCCTCCGGTACAGGCTGGGCTAGGGAGCAGAGGGACTGGACCCTACTTCTACCTGGTTTAGCCTGGGCATCTTTCTGTGAAAGCCGGCACCTGGCCACATGCCTCCACAGCGACTTTCGCTTAAGCAATGCCCCACAGTCTATACAGTGCAAAAACTCACTGGATTTAACTGGGGAATTTGGCTGTTTAGCTGGGACTAAAGTTCCAATGCCGGCCTTTAAAACCTCAAAATTGTGCTCACGGTTTCCACTATTCCTGATCAAATCAAACTGAAGTTTACGTGCTTTAGATTTCACAGGTAGAGCCAATGCTCTGGCTACGTCACTTTCATTTCCATGTTTTCTAGTCAAATGACGGGACATTTTGTGGCAGGACATTGAACAGTAGAGGCAGAACTGTCTCTTGCTGTAAACTCGCCCCCCATTTTTCTTCTTTTGCAGCTGCATGATAACAATCTTATTTGCCTTTGGTTCGTCACTTTCCGAGTCTTGAAGAAAAGTGTTTTTGATTTTTCTTTTTCCATACTTTTTTACAGGTTTCTTCTTGACAGTTAAATCGTCAGAATCTGAGTCGACTTCATCAATTAGGGACTCTTGACTAAGCTGCACAAACAACAAATTATTTGTAATAATTCTATATAACAATTTGAAGTCATGACTTGTAGTCAGCACTTACCAGTGGTTTGTAAGCGTGCGCTTCAGTGTGCTGCTCTGTGATTTCTTGCAGCCTAATGAACCACACACTTGCACCTTTTTCTAGCCTGACACCTGATTTCCTCTGTTGTGCTGCTCCATGATTGGCTCCAGCCTCTGTTGTGCTGCTCCATGATTGGCTCCAGCCTGCTGGACTGAAATTGCCCCAGTGTGCCCCTCCTTGATATCCCGCAACCCACCACCAGGGTTCCGACACAGAACACACTTTTTTCAGGAAAGTAAATATGGAAACCTCCAGGGGTCCTTTCCATATTTTTACAGAGACTGCATAAGGACCGTTAGAAAAGCATTACCCATTGATTATTAAGCTTGGACCAGTGGGGTCCGGTGTTCGGGCCCCACCACGTAAAACCAGTCCCCATGACGTGAGTGGAATCTCAGGTTATGGAACCCACCAGGAGTTGAAAACAAGTGCACACAGATACAGGGAGTGCACACACACACACACGCGCACAAACGCACAAACACACACAAACGCACACACACACAGATACAGGGAGTGCACGCTCACATACACACACACACACACAGATACACACCCACACACACACAAACGCACACACACACAGATATAGAGAGTGCACACACACACACACGCGCACAAACGCACACACGCACAGATACACACCCACACACAAACGCACGCACACACAGATACAGGGAGTGCACGCACGCTCACACACACACACACATCCACACACACCCACACACACACACACACACGCCGGGACACACACACACACACACATGCACGCACACACACACACGGAGAAGTGTGGGAGAAGTGTCTTGCTTAAGGACACAACCACAGTTTGGCACTTTACAGCCGCAGCCGCCTCACTGTGGCACCTGCTGTTCCCAGAGGTCTCCCATCACAGCACTGACCAGGAGAAATCTTTAACATCCCCCAGGTGGGTCAGACTCTCCTCAACTTTACCAAAGCCTCACTGACATACCAAGGTTTCTGTCTAGTATGGAAAGTGTTCGTAACTAATCTTTTTTTGTATCATGAAGGTATTTTAACTATTTTTGCTTTTGTTTATTTATCTCTGAAGCCTTTTGTTCTGACCGCGCTGCTGTTTATGCTGAGCTCCCTGACCCCCGTTGCTCCCATTAGTCCCAGAGCCGAGGTCTATCCCGGCGTTTGTCCTGGAGTCTGTCCCGGCGCTGACGGACATGTGTTTGTTTGTGTTCACTGCAGGACGCGGTCATGTGACTCAGATAAGAATCTCTCACAGTCAGTCAGAGCAAAGCTGTAAGGCCCCACACCGACTCCCACACCACTCACTGACACCTTAAAGAAGACGTACCATGCTCCGGCTGCTACAGAAACTCCCTGGGGAGCCATTGACTGGAGACACAGGTTTACTGCAAGGATACACGTTACGGCAGTTATTTGAACATTTGAAATTCCAATAAGTTCGTAATGGACCGAGCCTGGTCTTACCAGTGTTGGGCACGTTACTTTGAAAAAGTAATTAGTTATAGTTACTAGTTACTTCTCCCAAAAAGTAACTGAGTTACTAACGGAGTTACTCCACTATAAAAGTAACTAGTTACCAGTAAAAGTAACTATTGCGTTACTTTTTCGTTTTGTTCTGGAACATAATGTGCACTCGAGGTGCGCATTTTTACCTTTAACAGTGCCAATATTTCCATCTAGAAAAGGCTGTTTTGTTGCTGAAGTCCTGTTCACTCTTCATCTTTCTCTGTGCTGTAAGCACTAAACACCAACACCCGACACTGTGAATGTGGAAACACCGGTGAAGCACCGACTTCAGCCCAATCAGATGAACATATACATCATATAAATCAAGTGGACAATTTGTTTGGCTACAGCAAAATATGTTTTATTCCCGCATTGTTTGTTCATACAAAACGCAAAACTATGAGTTATGGGTCTTACCTTATAAATGACCTGCACAGTCCACTTCGGTTCAGACCAGTTCCTTGTTTAAATCCAGTTAATGGTTTGAGCGTAGATATGTAATCCTCCATTTGGAAATGAGTCCAATGAGTTTTAAAAAGTAAAACAAAACGCGTGTGTCCTCCATAAACTCCTGTGTTTTGCTAGCGGCAGCCGGGTGCATCCAATTTCTAAAATCAACCGTCTTACACTTCACCTCTCTTTCTTATCATTCCTATAGGAATTGAAAAATTACCCTATGTGCATTTTAGATTATTTAAAAATGTGTTATATGTATGTTAGCCAAACCTGTTGCTGTCCTTAGCAGATAAACCAGGAAGAGCAAGGAGCTTATCGATGGAATTGTATGCAGCCTTCTGCGCTCACATGCGCTCCTCTGAGGCTGACCTCACGGTGATACAAGCCGTAGTTGAGCGCGATTAAGACCCATATTTGTTTCAAAAACACAATTTATGAGCCATCCTCTCAACTGTAGACATGTGGATTGTAAAGGAAATATGTTTTACATCAGCCAATAACTGCTGAGAGGTTTTCTCATCCTCCCTTCTCTCATGACAACACGTTCATTGTGCGTCTTGAGTAACGCGCAGTAACGGGATGTCGGAAATGATAACGGCGTTATAGTTACTGTCAAAGTAATTAGTTAGATTACTCGTTACTGAAAAAAGTAACGGCGTTACTAGTAACGCCGTTACTAGTAACGCCGTTGTTCCCATCACTGGGTCTTACCATGTGTAAACTCTGGTCCATGATAATTTCCTACATGTACGTCTGGTCTTACCATGTGTAAACTCTGGTACATGATCATCTCCTACATGTACGTCTGGGTCTTACCATGTGTAAACTCTGGTCCATGATCATTTCCTACATGTACGTCTGGTCTTACCATGTGTAAACTCTGGTCCATGATCATTTCCTACATGTACGTCTGGTCTTACCATGTGTAAACTCTGGTACATGATCATCTCCTACATGTACGTCTGGTCTTACCATGTGTAAACTCTGGTACATGATCATCTCCTACATGTACGTCTGGGTCTTACCATGTGTAAACTCTGGTACATGATCATTTCCTACATGTACGTCTGGGTCTTACCATGTGTAAACTCTGGTACATGATCATCTCCTACATGTACGTCTGGTCTTACCATGTGTAAACTCTGGTCCATGATCATCTCCTACATGTACGTCTGGTCTTACCATGTGTAAACTCTGGTCCATGATCATCTCCTACATGTACGTCTGGTCTTACCATGTGTAAACTCTGGTCCATGATAATTTCCTACATGTAAGTCTGTCGGTTGAATCCCCTCCAACCAATCAGAGAGCGGGGGAGGCGGGTGTTGTAGGTCGGTGTCGGTGACGTCAAGAGTTTGTGCTCAATTTGCTGGTTGTAGTTTGTCGGAGAATGTGATAGTAAAATAATCTGTTCTGGTTCAATCCAAATATCAAGAAACTGAAGCCGGAGCAAGAGGAATCTTTAGTAAATGTCATTGAAGCAAAGATGTTGTGGTTCTACTCCCCACGGGCTCCGTTAGTGGCAAAGGAGATGGCTAAAGCTAGGCTACATGTTAAAGCTAGGCTAAATGCTAATGCTAGCCACTCACTCTGGCTCATTACATACGTCACAGTAAACTCAGATCCAATTGTTTCAATCTCCAAAATGAGTTAACCCCTCCCACCTGTTAACGGAGGCCATGGAGCAATTCCAGAACTTAGTATGAAATGAGATTAGTACTATGATATGGTAAGACTAGACTGTAATGAACCATATGAAGATTAATATCGACATGATTGCACAAAGTAAAATAATTTACAATCTTTTCTTTCTGGGCTGGAGCTGGGGCTGAGGCTGGAGCTTGGACTGGGGCTGGAGCTTGGACTGGGGCTATGGAGCTTGGACTGGGGCTGGAGCTTGGACTGGGGCTGGGGCTGGAGCTTGGACTGGGGCTGGAGCTTGGACTGGGGCTATGGAGCTTGGACTGGGGCTGGAGCTTGGACTGGGGCTGGGGCTGGAGCTTGGACTGGGGCTGGAGCTTGGACTGGGGCTATGGAGCTTGGACTGGGGCTGGAGCTTGGACTGGGGCTGGAGCTTGGACTGGGGCTGGAGCTTGGACTGGGGCTGGAGCTTGGACTGGGGCTATGGAGCTTGGACTGGGGCTGGAGCTTGGACTGGGGCTGGAGCTTGGACTGGGGCTGGGGCTGGAGCTTGGACTGGGGCTGGAGCTTGGACTGGGGCTATGGAGCTTGGACTGGGGCTGGAGCTTGGACTGGGGCTGGAGCTTGGACTGGGGCTGGGGCTGGAGCTTGGACTGGGGCTGGAGCTTGGACTGGGGCTATGGAGCTTGGACTGGGGCTGGAGCTTGGACTGGGGCTGGAGCTTGGACTGGGGCTGGGGCTGGAGCTTGGACTGGGGCTGGAGCTTGGACTGGGGCTATGGAGCTTGGACTGGGGCTGGAGCTTGGACTGGGGCTGGAGCTTGGACTGGGGCTGGGGCTGGAGCTTGGACTGGGGCTGGAGCTTGGACTGGGGCTGGGGCTGGAGCTTGGAGCTTGGACTGGCTGGAGCTTGGACTGGGGCTGGAGCTTGGACTGGGGCTGGAGCTTGGACTGGGGCTGGGGCTGGAGCTTGGATTGAGGCTGGAGCTTGGATTGAGGCTGGAGCTTGGACTGGGGCTGGAGCTTGGACTGGGGCTTGGATTAAGGCTGGAGCTTGGACTGGGGCTGGAGCTTGGGCTGGGGCTGGAGCTTGGACTGGGGCTTGGACTGGGGCTGGAGCTTGGACTGGGGCTTGGATTGAGGCTGGAGCTTGGACTGGGGCTGGAGCTTGGGCTGGGGCTGGAGCTTGGACTGGTGCTTGGACTGGGGCTGGAGCTTGGACTGGGGCTTGGATTGAGGCTGGAGCTTGGACTGAGGCTGGAGCTTGGACTGGGGCTGGAGCTTGGATTGAGGCTGGAGCTTGGACTGGGGCTGGAGCTTGGGCTGGGGCTGGAGCTTGGACTGGTGCTGTGGCTGGGGCTAGGTCTGGGTCTGATAGAGAGAGCACAGTAGATAGAGCAGTAACTGAGCTCCCAGGGACCAGTGTGAGTCATGAGTGAACATTTTGGTGTCTTTGCGGTCGGCTCGTCTGCCACATGTGAGCGTTGCTGCCGTGTAATTAAAAGCATTTCCACAGCGGTCCGAGGTCACTCCGACAACTGCAAATCACAGTCCGCACTCATTCCGAGCATTTTTCCCAGTCGCAGAGGCCTCCACTATCTATCACCCAGTCCAAAACATTAAATACATTCGTAAAGGGCGCCAGGTTTGGAAACGGCAGCTCGTTCTCAGTATTTTTCTTGCTTTATTCTAGCTGTAAATGTAAATGTGTTGATGGTTTTACACTGATCCAGACCAGAGCAGACGATTCATGGTCCCAACCAAACAGATCAAGCTGAAATCCACTGGAGGAAGGATCATATGTGGCCAGACCTGCATGTGAAAGGCCAGAACCTGTTAGATAACTGAAGCTAAGCAGGGTAGGGCATGGTTAGTACTATGATGGGACACCTCTGGGAACACCAGGTGCCACAGTGGAGAGGCTGCGGCTGTAATGTGCATCAACTGTGGTTGTGTCCTTAGGCAAGACACTCCACCCACATTAGAATGAGTCTGGTGTGTGGGTGAATGATTGGTGGTGGTGGGAGGGGCCGATGGCACAGACTGGTTGCCTCGCTTCTGATAATGTGCCTCAGGGCAGCTGTGGCTACAGTAGTAGTTGATCACCACCATGTTTGGAGCGAGAGACCAGACAGATAGTATAGAGAGACCAGAGAGAGGGACCAGAGACACGCTTCTGGCCCCTGGAAAAGCCATGTTCCAGCTTCTTCCCTCTGCAGAAGACATCTCAGTGTCAATCGTTTAAAGAACTAGTTTATTCCTGTACTTTTAACCTTGTTTTTATGTATGTACTTGTCTTGTGGTCACCGAGGACTTTTTACAAACGTATTCCAATGTGATTTTACTGCAACCCAGGTCCAAAAAGTAAAAGAGAGAGTACCCCCCCCCCCCCCCCCCCCAGCTCCACCTGCCCCTCCCCCACCTTCACCTCCACCACACATGGCTCTGGTTTGTCTCTGGGAGTGATTGACCGACGGCTTTTTACGGCGTGTAACTTGAGGCCGGTTCTGACAGGAGCAGACAAAAACCTCCACATATCTGGGGCTTTGTGCGGGCCGTGACGAGCTAACGGCAATGGCAAAGTCCCCAGCTCCCAGCATGCACCTCTCTGCTCACCGGTCCGGCTGCTCGGGGCCTGGGGCTGAAGAGGTTCAAGAGTATCGCTGTCTCTGTGTCAACAAAAGCAGAGAGTGAGTCATGTCTTTACAAAAATATGACAAGATCCAGTGAGAGTTTAGTCATTATATGCAAATCATTTATGAAGTGTGATTGAGGAGAGAGAGGCCAGAGAGAGACCAGAGAGACCAGAGAGAGACCAGAGAGAGACCAGAGAGACCAGAGAGAAACCAGACCAGAGAGAGACCAGAGAGAGGCCAGAAAGAGGCCAGAGAGAGACCAGAGAGAGACCAGAGAGAGACCAGAGAGAGACCAGAGAGAGACCAGAGAGAGAGGAGACCAGAGAGAGACCAGAGAGAAACCAGAAGAGGCCAGAGAGAGACCAGAGAGACCAGAGAGAGGCCAGAGAGACCAGAAAGAGGCCAGAGAGAGACCAGAGAGAGACCAGAGAGAGAGAGACCAGAGAGACCAGAGAGAGAGCCAGAGAGAGACCAGACCAGAGAGAGACCAGAGAGAGACCAGAGAGACCAGAGAGAGACCAGAGAGAAACCAGAAAGAGGCCAGAGAGAGACCAGAGAGACCAGAGAGAGGCCAGAGAGAGACCAGAAAGAGGCCAGAGAGAGACCAGAGAGAGACCAGAGAGACCAGAGAGACCAGAGAGAGAAGCCAGAGAGAGACCAGAGAGACCAGAGAGAGACCAGAGAGAGAAGCCAGAGAGAGACCAGAGAGACCAGAGAAAGACCAGAGAGAGAAGCCAGAGAGAGACCAGAGAGAGACCAGAGAGACCAGAAAGAGACCAGAGAAAGACCAGAGAGAGACCAGAGAAAGACCAGAGAGAGAAGCCAGAGAGAGACCAGAGAGACCAGAGAGAGACCAGAGAGAGAAGCCAGAGAGAGACCAGAGAGACCAGAAAGAGACCAGAGAAAGACCAGAGAGAGACCAGAGAAAGACCAGAGAGAGACCAGAGAGAGACCAGAAAGAGGCCAGAGAGAGACCAGAGAGAGACCAGAGAAAGGACAGAGAGAGAGACCATGAGAGAAAGAAGAGAAAAAAATCTCTTCTAGTCTTTCAGTCCCAGCCCAGTCCCTATTTTTTTCTTATTCCACCCCAGACCAAGATGAGTCTGACACCCATGGTACACTGCTCTCTCCTCCATAGTCCAGACGTGGGGCAAGGGTCAGACTCTAATCAGCCGACACTATCAGCTCAAACCAGCAGCTCTCTCCTCCCTCGCATCTGGCCAGCATTACCCCGGCACCTGGCTCTCTGTCGTGGGGGCTCCGGTCTGGACTAAACCCCGGTCTGTGTGGTCCGACGGGGATCTAGACCCTCAGAAGTCTTCGTTTCATGTGGACTAAATTATTAACAGTGATCTGGAGGTCTGAAGGAACGAGTTTGCTTTGGAAAGAATGGGAAATTGGACTCAGCTGTTACTGTGCGTTTGAGGTTACTGTAAAAAAGGGTTCAGGGAAGATGAAGGAACAATAAGAAACAGTTTGGAAGAGAACGGACCTCTTTCTTTGATGTATATGAGAGAGACTGGAGAGAGAGAGAGACCAGAGAGAGATCAGAGAGAGACCAGAGAGAGAGAGAGACCAGAGAGAGACCAGAGAGAGACCAGAGAGAGAGAGACCAGAGAGAGACCAGAGAGAGATCAGAGAGAGATAGACCAGAGAGAGAGAGAGCAGAGAGAGATCAGAGATAGAGAGAGAGAGACCAGAGAGAAAGACCAGAGAGAGAGATCAGAGAGAGATCAGAGAGAGAGAGACCAGAGAGAGAGAGAGAGAGCAGAGACCAGAGAGAGAGAGAGAGAGAGAGAGACCAGAGAGAGAGACCAGAGAGAGAGAGAGATCAGGGAAGATCAGAGAGAGACCAGAGAGAGAGAAGAGAGAGGGAGAGAGAGATCAGAGAGAGAGAGAGAGACCAGAGAGAAACCAGAGAGAGAGAAGAGAGAGAGAGATCAGAGAGAGAGAGAGGCCAGAGAGAGAGAGACCAGAAAGAGAGACTAGAGATGAAGGCGGTCACACTTTGGAAGGGAATGGACGTCTTTCATTGATATTTAAGAGAGAGATCAGAGCGAGAGAGAGATCAGAGATAGACCATTTAGTTCTATTTTAAAACAAGATAAATTTGCTTTGTAGGCTTAATGTGTCAGATCAGGCTAAAAACCACTCCATTAAAGCCATTATTACCTCAGATTTCATCATTTTTTTACAGTGTGTAAAAGTCGGAAGCGGCTGAGCTGAGCCTGGTCCATGTCAGTGGGAGTTACAGTCAAACCTGGAAGTGATAAAAGACTAAATGTTGAAATACAACACAATCTATGACATGAGATCCTGGTTCTGAAAACGGCTCGTGTGGGAAAAAAAAAAAAATTCTATCGAGATTCAGACTCAGCATTTTGTGGTTTGATATATTCACAGAGTTTGACATTGTTGGGACAAACACAATGAAGTCCATAATCTCTAACTTTATCATAAAAAGAAGCACGTTTACAATCTCTAAGTGTAAGCATAATAAAGAAGCTAGTCTATAATCTCTAGCTTTAGCATCGAGAAGCTAACCTAGCATACTGTATATTCCAGTGAAAGACATATATAGTTGTAAACATCTGGCCGGACCTCTGAGGATCACGTTTCTCCACTACTTTTACTCGGAGAGGAGCTGTTGGCCGGACTTTCTTTGTTGTCGAGTCGAGGCTGCTCATCTTCTGCCGCAAGCCCCGCCCTGTCCCACAGATCCTGCGCTCTGATTGGCTGCCGGAGGAGCCCCTGGTTTGGAATCGCACACTTCCAAACTCCAGTCGCAGAGAGCGTGTGAGAATGAGCAGGACCCCTCTGGCTGCAGCCCACCAGTGAGTACAGACCCTACACACACACACACACACACACACACACACACACACACACACACACAAACACACACACACACACACACACACACACACACACACACACACACACACACACACACACACACACACACACACACACACACACACACACACACACACACACACACACACACCACACACACACACACACACACACACACACACACACACACACACACACACAAGATTTGTCTATTCTGATAAACTTCATTTCTATTTTCTAAGTTTTGGAAAAGTTACTGATGGTGTGGGGTCTTGCAACAACAAAAAAACTAAAATGTTCTTTCAATAGGCACATTTCATCTTGGGGTTGTCTGGATAGAACTTGCAGTTTTTCACGCACTGGCAAATTCCAAAACTTAAGTAAAAAAATGTTGTTTTTGTTTTTAGCTCTTACCATTGTCTTTAATGGGTTTTGGGACTGCACCATTATGCTAAAGCTAGAGATTTTATACTAGCTTCTTTATTATGCTAAAGCTAGAGATTTTATACTAGCTTCTTTATTATGCTAAAGCTAGAGATTTTAGACTAGCTTCTTTATTATGCTAAAGCTAGAGATTTTATTTTACCCTTGCATATTATTAAATTATATTCTGCTGACACTGATTCAAGAATTGATTTGCCATTTGCAGTAAAACCACTTTGGAAAAACTGTGCAAGACTACCCCAGTGTGCACTGTGGGACGAATCTCTTCATCTTTATCTCTAATGTCAACAAAGCAGCATGATGTTTTGAGGCAGTTTTAAACATATACAATACTTCACACAATGAGATGTAGTTGCTGCTGCGTTGGGGGACATTTCAGTGTTGCAATACAAGTTACAGAACAGTAGGAATGAGGAGCACACAGCACAAGAAAAATGAATAATAACTCGGTACTAAACATGAAATCTCTAATTTTAGCATAATACAGAAGCAAGTATAAATGGCTGTATAATCTAGTGCAAGAACTACATATTAGATGTACCCAGTTTACAACGACTTCTTTAAAAACACCGGGGAGACATTCCTGACCGATACTGCACTCGGGATCCGCTCTATTATTAAGATGCTTAGATCTGTTTATGGAAATATCTGTATGGACAAACATGAAATGCTTTGCTTTTGTTCTTATCATGTGTTATGTTGAGAAAAAAACCTAAAAATCCTTCAATGTACTCAATTTTTGAAAGTATATCGATATTTCAACCCACTGGTATATCAGTCACAGGGACAAATGAATGAATCCTCACCAAAAGCCATAAATCTTGAATAATAACCGGAATTAAACTAATAAATTCGTGTTTGCTTCTCTCTGCCCATGACTCTGCTTCTGTCGCCAATATTTCTAAAAATGACCACATTCTCTTGTCTTCTGAAAGTGTTTAATTGCGTTTAAACTGTTGTAAAGTATACACAAAAATGTCATCTTTGCTGTCACAGTTAATTCAAAATGGCGTCACACTACTTTCTTATTCTGCCATCACTAAAACAATTCTCGTTTATTCATTAATGATTTTTAACAAGCTCAAAGTTATTCATTTTTGATATTATTTGAACTTGTTTGTGTGTTGTTTGTTATGTAAAAAAACAAGAAGCCTAATTGGTTAAAATCTCTTGAAAATGTAAAGAAAATAGTGCTGTCACTTTTAACAAACTGTTTTGATTCAGTTTGAGCGACACTAATCTCAGTGAATGTTTTATTTATGTCTGAAAATGTAATTTGATTTGCCCTAATTTAATTTAAAAAAAAAGTTTTGCATCATTTCACATTTTTCAACAAATTGGCAATGCATTGGCTTCTTGTTCTCTAGTCTGTGAAAATATTAGGATTAGAAAAAGCTAGGATTTAAAAGTAGTGTATCATTTCAAACGGTTTTCAACCCAAAATGTCTAAGAGAATGACTATTTTACTGGATCATCAAAACAGCCTTTCCAATCACTATTTACTTATGGGTTTGTGCGTTTGAGTAAAGTACATTTGTGACTCTTTTATCACCTTTTTACAGGATTCTGGACTGAAGCAGAGATGCTAGCTTAGCATTCTGGCCTAAGTGCACCCTTGGGAGTCACCATGCTGCTGGCTTTGTTTCTGGTTCTGGCCCAAACCTGCAAAGCCGCAGACACTTCCAACTCTTCCTCCACCGTGTTCCAGTACAGCATCTGGGAGGAGCAGCCGATGGGAACACAGGTCGCCAGTCTGTCGGATGACCTCCACAAACGGGATGAACTGGGTCACTTGGAAGGCTTCCAAATAGTCGAACACGGGAAAACCTTGCCTTTCTCTGTCAACGCTCCGGACGGGGTCATTTCCACCCAGGGACGCCTAGACCGAGAACAATTATGTCGGAATTCAGACGTCTGCGAGCTCGCCTTCAGTGTCCTCTACCGGAAAGGCGGGGACGTCAACTGCCTTAGAGTTCACGTGGAAATTATGGATCTAAACGACAACAGTCCAAGCTTCCCAAGTCCGTTTCAAGAGCTGGAGATTTCAGAAATGGCAGCGTTGCGGATGAGGATACCCTTGGAACACGCGGTAGATCCGGATGCTGGACCAAATGGACTTCAGACGTACTCATTGTCAGCTAACACACACTTCGCCTTGGATGTTACCGCAGCTCCCGGCGGAACCAAACAAGCCGAACTAGTCGTAATCAAGGAGCTAGATCGGGAAGTGAAGGATGCGTTTGAGTTGACGCTTGTGGCATGGGATAAGGGGAATCCGCCAAGATCTGGGAGTACAATGGTCCGTGTTAAAATTCAGGATTCAAATGATAACAGTCCGATATTTGAGGATAGCAAGCCCGTTTTGGAGCTTCCAGAAGATACCGAAATTGGTCACGTTATTGCAAATCTAAAGGCATCGGATCCGGATGAAGGCGACAACGGTTTAGTCGAGTACTCCATTAGCAAGCACACACGTCCAGAGACAAAACGCCTCTTCGCGATCGATTCACAAACTGGCGATGTTAGTTTAAAAGCACTTTTGGATTACGAAGACACACGTTCCCATGAAGTTATTGTCCAAGCTCGCGACAAGGGCCCTAACTCTATCCCTTCCCACTGCAAACTTCACGTAAAAGTATTGGATGTGAACGATAACGCACCGAGAATCCATGCCACCTGGACCACGCCCAACTCTCCGGGGCCAAATGTGCTTGAAGGAGCCGAAATTGGGACTTTTCTGGCTTTGGTTTTAGTCTCCGATGCTGACTCTGGGGAGGACGGTGATGTCGTAGCCACGTTAAAAGAAATGTCCGGCCCATTTCAACTTGAGCAAATGCAACGCAACAATTACAAAATAGTAACAAATGACTTGCTGGATCGTGAACAAGTCAGCAAATATACCATCACGATTATCGCTCAAGACAGAGGGAATCCGCAGCTAAGAACAACCTATCACCTTCCTGTTCATGTTTTGGACCTAAATGACAACGCGCCTGTTTTCTCAATGCCGGTTTACAAAGCTGAAATAAGTGAAAACAATGAGCAAGATTACCGTGCGTTAAAAGTAGAAGCCTATGACATGGACATTGAACTGAGTGGAAGAGTGTCCTACAGCATCCAGAATGCAAATGAATATCCTTTTTCTATACACAGAACGACTGGAGTCATCACTATCCACCATTCGTTGGACTATGAAACAGCAAAGTCATATTCCTTCGTAGTGGAAGCCGTTGATCATGGGTATCCTCCGTTGTCAAGCACAGCTACAGTAGAGGTTGAGGTTTTGGACGTAAACGACAATTATCCCATTATCGTGGAGCCAAAATCCAAAAGAGGAATTGCATCTGTGAGCGTCCCTGTCAATGCTGAGAAGGGAGAAATCATGGCTGAACTTGGAAATGGTGAACAAATACCCACTCAACACAAAGCAGAGAGGTTTCTTGCGTTGACGGTCAAAGCTACCGACCTGGATGAAGGGATCAACAGCGAGCTACGATACGTCCTACGCAAAGAGAACAATTATGATGGACTCTTTAGCTTGGACGAACCTTCTGGGAATCTGTACGTCAACACCACGAATGCTACAGAGTTAATTGGAAAAACATTTAAAGTACACATAACAGTTATGGACAGCGGAACCCCGTCTTTGTCCACCACGACTATGCTTGAAATTACTTTTATCAACCTGAAAGATCATTTAAAAAGCTCCGTGGATGGAAACCAAAACCATTTCAGCTCCACAATGATGATAGCCATTTGCTTAGGTGCGACATGCTTGTTCTTGTTGCTAGCTGTAGCGTTGGTGACGACATTTTGCCGGCCTGTCAAAAGAGAAAATCGTGCGTACAACTGTCGGCACGCAGAATCAACGTACACTCGGCATCCCAGGAGGCCGCAGAAGAACATCAGGAAGTCGGATATTCAATTGATTCCGGTTATTCGAGGGAGAAAAGACGACCCACTCCATGACAACAGCGAGTCCCAACCTCTGTCTACGTCGTCCACGATGTCGGAGGAGCTGCCGAACGAACGTCAATACACGTTGGTGCCGTCTTGTTTGAACTCTAGCTTCCACTCGCAAAGCTACCAAGAAATCGACGGCATCCAAGCTAGCATTCATCACGGTAAAACGCTATGCAAGCCCGGGAACATCGAACTGGACAGCCCTTTGGTCATAACCCCGGCGTCTTCGTACCGCACGCTTCGCAAATCCAGAAATCAGTCCTCGTCGTCTTCCGTGTCCCACGCCAGCACGCTGAGAAGGCAAAGAAGCGAGGAGTCCAACGTGTCCCAAGCCACTCTGAGGAGGCAGAAGACGGAGGGCCGGGAGGCGGAACAGCAGCGGATCTGGAGGAATCTGGTTCGGTTGTCCATGGCGGCGTTCGGGGATTCCATCGAGCTCTCCGCGGCTTCTCCAGACGTCCAAGTAAGATTACGTTTTTGTGTGTCTTTTCCATAGGTTAAATCAGTGATTCCTAAACTTTGGTACATAAAAATTATTTTGTTTTCTAGTCAATTCCAGTTTCTTCACACATAGTAATTAATGTACACCTCAGCCCTAACTGCAGAGTGTCATGTGTCAAAAATCCATCTTGTCCATCTTATGCTAGCAGTGTCATTTAGCATACTGTATTTCATTTATTTTCATTCATTTGTTCGTTCCGTGCCCCCCCACTTTGGAAACCACTGGGTTAAATGATGAGTCCTTATATACAACGAATGCGTGAACAGTCTTTTAAAGTTATGTTCCGTAAAAGAAGATGGTATTTAGGGTTATCATGAAAAACCAAACCGAGACAATTATTCTGCATTTTACTTTCTTTGCACAATGTTGACTTTTTTAAAGACGCTTCACATGTCATTATTCATTCACTCCATACATGGTGGTGATATACTACTGTAGCCACAGCTGCCCTGGGGTACACTGACAGACGCGAAGCAACCAGTCTGTGCCATCAGCCCCTCCCACCACCACCAACCATTTACACACACCAGACTCATTCTAATGTGGGTGAAGGGTTTTTCCAAAGGACACAGCAACAGTTTGGCACTTTACAGCCGCCCCAACGTGGGACCTGGTGTTCCAGAGGTCTCCCATCACAGTACTAACCAAGCCCTGCCCTACTTACCTTCAGATGTCTGGCTTTCACATGCAGCAGGTTTATGACTTAGATCCAGGACTGAGGCTGTAGATCCAGGACTGAGGCTGACGATCCAGGACTGAGGCCTGAGGCTGTAGATCCAGGACTGAGGCTGTAGACTCAGGACTGAGGCTGTAGATCCAGGACTGAGGCTGTAGACTCAGGACTGAGGCTGTAGATCCAGGACTGAGGCTGTAGATCCAGGACTGAGGCTGTAGATTCAGGACTGAGGCTGTAGACTCAGGACTGAGGCTGTAGGTTGAGTTAGTATTGTGCATTATTGTTAATTAATGCACATTTTGGCCTTAAAACATGATATTAAGAAGGTTTAGTAAGTTTAATGTAATGTTTTAGAACGTGAAATAACAGCTTAAAGCTGGACTACCAAATGTTCATTTGGGTTTCATAAATATGTTGTTTGAGTCCTGTTTGAGTATGATTACCATTTATCAAAGCTGATGTACATGTGACAGAAGTCCAAGATAAATGCCTCTGAAAACAAACGATTATCGCATAGTTAGGGCGGCACAGTGGTTAGCGCTCTGTGCCGCTCTCGCTTGTTAGCTTTGTCTGCAAGAATGTTGTTCAAATCCTGGTCGACACAGGGCCTTTCTGAGTGGTGTTTGCATGTTCTTCTTCTCTAGTGGCGTATAGAAGCATGGATCAAATGCAGAAGACACATTTTCCTGTGTGGACAATAAAGTTTAACTTTACTTTACTTACTACATTTGCAGTATTTAAAGATACTGTATGTGGTTTTAAAGTAGCAATATGTAAGATTTTCATGTCAAGTCATCATTAATTAAAGGGCCCTAATCTGTCCAAATGCATTAATAAAACATGCTCTGTCCCAATACTTCTTTAACTGATAACAGTAGTTCAGAGATATTTGAGTCTTTTCCAGCCTCTAAATCTTGTTATTGTTTTCATTTCGATGTCCCGCCCTCCACCGTTTCACCAATCAGAAAGTCTGTGATCCGGGCGCCAGAACTCACCCCCTGGAGCTAATCTCACTGGTAAAGTACCATGTGGCGCAGAACTAAAAAAGGTCTCGTTATGATTCTCAAATCATTAACGTCAAAACAAGGAATAAAACCAGGATTTCTATCTTTGTGAAAAAGGTGTTGGTTATAGATTTGTTGTTGACTAAACTCTTGTCTATTCAGCTGTTATGGTCCCAGCTGGATTCGTCTGCATATCTGGCAACCTGAGTCAGGGAGAGTGGGAGAGGCTGCAGTACCACTTTTAACCAGATTTTTTTTACATACTGCCAAACTGGACACACATACTGACGGTAAATGACAGTAGCAGTGGCGGTGCTTGGATAGTGTTGGTGTCCATAGTTTCCCAGGTGTACTCTTGCGGATCCGTGCGATATAAGGGCTCGCCTCGTCTGTGAATGTGAAAGACGAGCCTGATTAAAAGCTCTGTCAGTGACACACGAGCAGCTGGATAAATGCTGAGGGACTAGAGCACCATTCCTCACCCACGCAGCCTCCAGGCAGAGCAGGCCGCCCATCGCTCATGTGGGCTCAGGTGGGGAGGCTGAGGGGAGGGACTGGCTCTGGAATTACAACACTACAGACAGAGATTTTTAGATTTTTTATATACGTACATATAAAACATACAATACATAACATAACACAATGACAAAAACCCACTTTCCATGCACTAGTTAAACAAAATACAAAGACAGGACAAAAGCAGAGTAAACAGGTAAGACGAAAGACAAAAATAAATAAAATATATATTGTACAGACAGAACACCTACAAGTCCTTAAGCTTTTTTACTTACTTATTTATTAATTTATTTTGTATTTATTGATAGATTGAGTGGTTGTTCTTCCTACATTAGTTGGTTTTAGCTCTATCCACACAAGTATCAGAAACCTCGACCCACCCCTTCTGTCCACAAACTCCTTTTTAAAACTTTTTATACTATAAATCCGCTTTCTGCCTCTAGTTGTGGGAAAGTCTCATGTAGGAGTGGAAATTAATAAAAATGTGACGATTCAAAAGTATTGCGATATTTGAGCCACAATTGAATATTATCGCGATTCTAAACATATCGCGATACAGACAGTATTGTGGTTCGATTCTGCGATATATTGCAATTCAAGTCCCTCATATTATTTAAAGGCATTACAAAAACTGAGGAAAATGAGACTCAATGAAAGTAGAAAATCCACCTTTATCTGAAGCAAAAACAGAGGAGGAAGTGCAAAAACCTAATCCTTCTTAAGTCAGTCATTTACACAGCGCCTTCACAGACTCACAAAGCACTTCAGAATTGTGGGTAATTGAGGCGCATAACATACCTATTTTACATGTTTTTAGTGGTAAAGAAAACTGGAGCACCTGGAGAAAACCTATGCAGACACGAGGAGAACATGCAAACTCCACTCAGAAAGGCCCTTTTCCGACCGGGATTCGAACCCAGGAATTGATTGAATTGATCAAGATTCTTTGTAGAGTTTCTTTCCTCACAACAAGATTTTATGCTAAAGTTAAAGTATCAATATGTAAGATTTTCATGTCAAGTCATCATTAAAGGGCCCTAATCTGTATTCATTAAAGGGCCCTAATCTGTCATCATTAAAGGGCCCTAATCTGTCATCATTAAAGAGCCCTAATCTGTCATCATTAAAGGGCCCTAATCTGTAATCATTAAAGGGCCCTAGTCTGTCATCATTAAAGGGCCCTAATCTGTCGTCATTAAAGGGCCCTGATCTGTCATCATTAAAGGGCCCTAATCTGTCATCATTAAAGGGCCCTAATCTGTCATCATTAAAGGGCCCTAATCTGTCATCATTAAAGGGTCTAATCTGTCGTCATTAAAGGGCCCTAATCTGTCGAAAGGCATTAATAAAACATGTCATAGATTTGTTGTTGACAAAACTCTTGTCTATTCAGCTGTTATGGTCCCAGCTGGATTCGTCTGCATATCTGGCAACCTGAGTCAGGGAGAGTGGGAGAGGCTCCAGTACCACTTTTGGCCACATTTTTACACACTGCTCCTTTAATCCTTACATATATATATACAGAGAAGCATGAGTGAAATCTGAGAGCGTCCTGGAGCAGGGTCCATCCTCTGCCGTAGAAAGGCACCGACCCCCGTCTCTGCGGCTCCAAAACCAATCAAGCTAATGTCCCTATTGTTCTTTGTGGCATTCGGATGTGCATGTGCGCTGCTCGTCTAGACCCTTGGACCGGGCTGGCTCACGTGAAGGCCCTCCCAAGTCCCCCACAATCCTCTCTGTCGACACAGTTGGCACACGGAGGGCCCTTCCTGCTCCCTGAGGGCCGAGAGGAAGTGCAGCCTCAGCCATGTGCTTCCTGCGTTTGTGAGAGCGGACATTACAAAGGGTTAAAGAGAGAGAAACAATACCATCATGTGAAACATAACAAACCTGGCAACAAGGCCACGGCAAATATATATACTCCAGAAACTGTGAGAGAAAGCTGGGGTTCCTAACTTCCAAACCATTATAATAACAACAACAATATTTGACCTATTTTTCACCACTTTTTGCAGTGTACTAGTTACAGAGATTTTAAAAAGTTGTTATTATTATAGTTTGAAAGTTAGGAACCCCAGCTTTCTTTCTTAGTTACTGAAGAATATGCATTTTACCAAATTAGAGCACTTTTGAACTTATTTTCCATCACTTTTTGCAGTGTAGGTGGATAAATGTTGCCCTACTTACTTCTTCTAGGCTCCTGTGATGTTTTAAACGACTGTATAAACACGTCCCCCCGCCCTTTCTGTCTAAAAGCTCTGTTTTCAAACTCATCCTCAGTCTTACGTTGTTGACAGAGACTGAAAATGAGCTCTTGAGCTATAACTTGGTACAATGCATCTCTCCCTTTGAGGTTAATGTTTATTGTACATCTTAAATACATAAACTAAAATACACTAAGCCACTTTCTGCCTTTTAAAGCTGGGGTACCTACATTTGTCATTTAATTGAAAATATATTTTTTTGAAACAGGAGAAAGTCTTGTAAAATGTGCTCAAACTAAAAGATAATTTAGCCAACTTTGAACAATATTGACTTATTTTTCATCACTTTTTGCAGTGCACTAGTTAAGAAAGATTTATCTTAGCACATTTTACAAGACTTTCTCCTGGTTCGAAAGAAATGTATTATTTATTAAGAGATGCCTTGTACCAGGTTATAGCTCAAGAGCTCATTTCCACCTTAAGTCTCTGTCATTAACATAAGACTGAGGATGTGATGAGTTTGATAACAGATCTTTTAGACAGAAAGGGCGGGGGCGAAACTATGTGGTAACTATCAAACTATTTGGTGACTATGAAAGAAAGCTAAAGGTTCCTAACTTCAAAACCAGAATAATAACGTTTTAAAAATCCCTTTTAACTAGTGCACTGCAAAAAGTGAAAAATAAGTCAAATATTGCCACAAAATTGCGAGAAAAAGTACTCAGAAAGTACTCAGATTACAAACAGATGGAGTCCAAACGCAAACATGTGTGTTGGTCCCTGTCACATCTGTAGATCAGCTTCTCCAGACAACAAGCCTAAAGAGTCAAATAATGACTTTTACAGGGCTCTTTCTCACAAATATGTAAAAGATCTACTGTTTTTCTAACAAGGTGAAGACAGAATGTTGTGGTTCTGATTTTACTTTCAAAATGTATGTACCTCAGCTTTAAAAGGCACAAAGTAGTTCTGTCAATGACGTCAGACTGAGGATGTGTTGAGTTTGAAAACAGAGATCTTAGACAGAAAGGGCGGGGGGACGTGTTTATACAGTCGTCTGAAACATCGCAGGAGCCTAGAAGAAGTAAGTAGGGCAACATTTATCCACCTACACTGCAAAAAGTGATGACAAATAAGTAAAAATTGCTCAAACTTGGCAAATAAGGTAACTCTGAAAGAAAGATGGGGTTCCTAACTTCCAGACCATAATACAAAATATTTACGATAACAACAGAAGAAGGCCAAGCTAGGCTGAAACGCGCTGGTGTGTGTTTTAATTTACATGAGAAAATAAATACTTTTTAAACTTTCTAAACAATTGGATTCTTTTGATTATCTAAGATCTTCATAATTTTACCTGGAAAGTCAAAACTCTATTTTTTGATAATCATAACAACTTTTTAAAATCCCTCTTAACTAGTGCACTGCAAAAAGTGATGAAAAATGTGTCAAATATGTATCAAAATTGGCTAAATGATCTCTTAATTCAAGCACATTTTGAGTTCCTTAAGACGGGACAAAGCAAAAATAGAGAAAATATAATCTTGTTTTAACACAGTCAGAATGTGTCGGATTAAGACCAAAAACCGCTCGATTCAAGCAGCTAGCACCTCATATTTGCTCATTTTTTGGAGTAAGCTAACATCTGGATTATTAGCCACGTTCAGTAAGATCCAGGAGGAATGAGGAGAGCAGGTTTTACACTCAGGTCTCGTTCTAGTCTCACGTGTGGAGAGAGAAGCACAGATGGTTAAGTCACTCTCTCGGACTCAGGAGGAGCAGAGCTGGACTTCCTGCTCAGAGATCGTGACCTGTCAGCACCAAAGAGCAGACGGCTTTTCACATCAACAACTGAGAGCTGGGGTTTGCATAAGTATCCACCCCCCGCTCTCTGCAGTCACAGTCGTCTGGAGATGACTCTACAAGCTGAGCACAAGAGAGAGACTGACGTTTTGTCTGTTCGTTCTTACAAAACAACTCAAAACTCATTCACTAACTACTTAAACATGGCTCTAATTTTGGTTGAGGGCCGAGTTTAAAACGTAAAAGCTGTTTACAAGTGCTTTTCTTTTATTGTCATTATTGAAGGAGCAGTGTGTAAATTCTGGCCAAAAGTGGTACTGCAGCCTCTCCCACTCTCCCTGACTCAGGTTGCCAGATATGCAGACAAATCCAGCTGGGACCATAACAGCTGAATAGACAAGAGTTTTGTCAAAAACAAATCTATAACCAACACCTTTTCACAAAGATAGAAATCCTGGTTTTATTCCTTGTTTTGTCGTTAATGATTTGAGAATCATAACAAGACCTTTTTTAGTTCTGCGCCACATGGTACTTTACCAGTGAGATTAGCTCCACATGGTGAGTTCTGGCGCCCGGATCATGGACTTTCTGATTGGTGAAACGGTGGAGGGCGGGACATCGAAATGAAAACAATAACAAGATTTAGAGGCTGAAAAAGTAATTTAGAAATTCCAATATCTCTGAACTACTGTTATCAGTTAAAGAAGTATTGGAAAAGAGCAGGTTTTATTAATGCTTTTTGACAGATTAGGGCCCTTTAATGATGACTTGACCTGAAAATCTTACATATTTCTACTTTAACATGACTTTAACAGTTATGTGGTGTCAGTTATTGAAATGTATCAATGATAATTAACAATGGTTTCAGAGGCCACTGAAAATGGTGTCACGGCTGGATTTGGCCCATGGGCCTGAGGTTGGCTCGTCTGGTTTAGATGAGAGCGCCTGACCTTCAGGTGAAGGGCAGATTCTGTCAGAGCTCTGAAGCCAAACAGGGCGGGGCCTGGTGGTGGGAGGGGCTTCTGTCAGTGTGCCCCAGGGCAGCTGTGGCTACAGGAGTGTTCTATCACCACTGCGTCCTCCAGTGTCTTTATAAAACTGATGCATTATTTTAATTATTGTTTGTGAACCGCACATTTCCCACTGGATGTAGATCTGGACTTTGACTGGGACCCGGACTTGGACTTGGACTTGGACTTCAACTGGGACCTGGTCCTGGACCTGGATTTGGACTTTGACCAGGAGCTCGAGTTCATATTCATATCATATTTATCAAAATAATGTTCATCCTTTTTTGTTCTGGAGAATTAAACTATAATTGTGTGTGTCTGTGTGTGTGTGTCTCTCTCTCTCTGTGTCTGTGTGTGTCTCTCTCTCTCTCTCTGTGTGTGTGTGTGTGTGTGTCTCTCTCTCTTTCTCTCTGTGTGTGTCTCTCTTTGTTTGTGTGTCTCTGTGTGTGTGTGTGTGTGTTTGTCTCTGTGTCTCTCTCTCTGTGTGTGTGTGTGTGTGTGTATGTGCGTGTGTGTCTCTCTCGCTCTGTGTGTGTGGTGTGTGTCTCTCTCTCTCTCTGTGTGTGTGTGTCTCTCTCTCTCTCTGTGTGCCTCTCTCTCTGTGTGTGTGTGTGTGTCTCTCTGTGTGTGTAGCAGATCTCTCAGCTGCTGTCTCTGCTCAGACAAGGCCAGCTTCAGCCCAGGACCAACTTCAGAGGAAACAAGTTCTCCCAGCGCCGGTCAGTGACTCTCCTCCACAGAATAAACACAGGATAAATACAGAACAAATACAGAATAAACACAGAATAAATACAGCCGTAACAAAAAGTCTTGGAGCCTTGACACCAGTGCTTTCCATTCACTAACACCCATCACATAATAAATTATACATATACATTATCGGAAATAGCAATAATTGTCCTTTATTTCTGTGTTTACCAAAGACTTTATCAGAGACTGTAGAAATCACTGGTACATCTCAACATCATTCTTGACAAAAATTAGATTTGTCCGTGTTGAAAATGTGTCAAATGTGTCAAATGTGTAATCCTCTAGCTCCAATCTTCAACATGTTTTGTTATTGGCAGTGCATGTGTAAAAGTTTTGTAAATAGAGAAAGAATATGCTCAAAAAGAGGTCAAACTTTATTAGCGTGAAGCTAAACTATGTCTGGCTAATGGAAAAAATGACTTGGTAAAGGGTGAAATGTATTTTTCATTGGCTCTTAACTGTTTCTGCAAATGGGACTGGTCCTGTTGGGTTGCCAGGTAGTGGGACTGGTCCTGTTGGGTGGCCAGGTAGCGTGACTGGGTCTGCTGTGTTGCCAGGTATGGGACCCAGGACTGCGGGGGAGACTGGCAGAGCACAAAGGACAGCGGACACGGGGAGAGCGAGCCTGGAGACGGGGACATGGGCTGGGACGGAGCGGCAGAGTGCCCCCTGGAGGCACAGCTGGAGGAAGGACTCAGCAAACTCATCCACAACAACGGTAAGGGACTAATATATGGGACTAATATATGGGACTAATGTATGGGACTTTATATATGGGACTATGTATATGGGACTATATATATGGGACTATTTATATGGGACTTTATATATGGGACTATTTATATGGGACTATGTATATGGGACTATTTATATGGGACTATGTATATAGGACTATTTATATGGGACTATTTATATGGGACTTTTTATATAGGACTATTTATATGGGACTATGTATATGGGACTTTATATATGGGACTATTTATATGGGACTATTTATATTGGACTATCTATAGTCTGCATATCTGGCAACCTGAGTCAGGGAGAGTGGGAGAGGCTGCAGTACCACTTTTGGCCAGATTTTACAAACTGCTCCTTTAAGTTCTTGACTGTGGCAGACAATCAGAGCCTTTCCTTCTCACCTCATTGTACAGTTCATAACGATCAGTTGTGTTGCCGCACATGCATTGTGTTGCGTCGTAATGGACACACTCCACGTGGTTCGGGGTGAGTGAGTGCGTTTGTGCGTCTCTTGCTGACGGAGGCGACAGGTCCAAACAAAAGTATCTGACCCGTGAACCCTGAAGAAACACCAGGGCTGACTACACAATGGAGCACACTCACAACAGGAAGGAGGGGAAGTACCGCAAGCACACACACATAAACACACCAACACACCTACACACACTAACACACACGTTTACTACCGACCGACAAATTATCTTATTTTACACATTCATAAAAAAGGGTGTTTTATGTTCAAGGGTCCCTAACTTTCAAAACCACTTGTGTGCAAAAGTCAATCCAACTAGATCCTGGCCCAGCTCTACACTGCAAAAAGTGATGGAAAATTTAGTGAAAAATTGCTCTAATTTGGCAAAATGTAACTTAATTTGAGCACATTCTGACTTAAAACAAGGAACTTTTAAATGTATTTCCCCACATCTACCTCTACATGGGATTGTGTTCACGCAGAGCCATTTGCTTTCCCTACATTATTTATTATTATAAAACATGAAACATTCTCAAGATCATGTTCATGTCACGTCTTTACACCACAGGTTTGAAAAGGGGTTGGATGAAGCAGAAGATTATTTATTTCCAACGACATCTCTCACTCTTTCTCACCCCCTCTTAACCTCTCTCACCTTACTCACCCTCTCTTAATCACCCTCATTCAACACAATAATACACAGAATCCATACATGACACTGTGCGGTACATACAGTAATATACAAGAGATTTAGAGATCCTTTATACGTCCCAGAGTGGGGAAATGTCAGTGTTGCATCCCGGGTTACAGAACAGAAAGAATGAGGAGCACACAGCAAAAGATAAATGAACAATAACTCTACACTAAGGCCCTACCATAGAGTATGAGACACACAAAACACTCACACATATTATTTGGATGTCATATTCAAGCTCTGGTCATGACGTTATTGTGTAGTTTGACAAGAGAGCGGTGAGTCAGAAGGGTGGGGGGGACGTGGCTGAAAGAGTCAGAATCCTGTCCGTATCATATCACACTCTCTGTACTTTCCCTGAGTCACTCTTTTAAAACACTTTTCTTTTGAACCTGCGTCTCGTGAGCAGGAGAAACATGAGGCGTCCGCACAGCTCTGTCGTCAGCCGCTGCTCCCTCTGTGCCTCGGGACATGGAGAGAAACAATACCGACACGTTTGGAGTTGTTCTTTGCAGATTCAGGCAGGGATTTACATCAGAGGGTCAAAAAAACTATACTATAACAATATACTCTAATACTGTATAACCCAGTATATATACTTACAATAGACATGTATTAACTCAACATGTACTCATTCAAGATCCTGTGTTAAATTCTAAATCCTTTGGGAGTACCTGAAAGGGGGCGGGGACCTGTTTTTCTACATCTTAGAAAATCATGAAACAAAAACCATTGTGAACATTAAAGGGTTAAGAAGGAGCCAAAGATAATGCATAATATTTCTCTTGGAACCAAAAATCTCCTACCATGTGACCAGTCCCATAGTACTTGACTCCACAAAATAACAGTATGAGTTTAGCATTAACCTTGAGCATGTTTTGACTCGGTGCGAAAAGTCTGAAAACGCTTTTGGAGAATGTCAGCTCAGATTTGTAAAGAATGTGACAGAGTACAGTAGAGTATTTATCCTTCAGATCAGAGACACATTGACAGAATTCTTTTCCCGTAAACAGCTGTGTCTGGTGTCTCTAAGTCGGTGTTTAACATTCCTCCAATGAAAACCATGGGAAAGGTGTGTGACCATGTGGAGGAGGGAGATGTTTTCAGACGCCGAGGTCACGACGAGTTTTGTTTACGCTTTTACTCTGAGCTCAAAGTCACCGAGCTGGGAACGAGACGGACGTCCAAAAACAGCTGTAGTAGATTCACAACACTGCAACCTGAGTCCGGACTGGAACCAGGAAGTACCATCACATTAGTCCAGACTAGAACCAGGAAGTGCCATCACATTAGTCCAGACTAGAACCAGGAAGTACCATCACATTAGTCCAGACTAGAACCAGGAAGTACCATCACATTAGTCCAGACTAGAACCAGGAAGTACCATCACATTAGTCCAGACTAGAACCAGGAAGTACCATCACATTAGTCCAGACTAGAACCAGGAAGTACCATCACATTAGTCCAGACTAGAAGCAGGAAGTACCATCATATTAGTCTAGACTAGAACCAGGAAGTACCATCACATTAGTCCAGACAAGAACCAGGAAGTAGCATCACATAGGTCCGGACTAGAACCAGGAAGTACCATCACATTAGTCCAGACTAGAACCAGGAAGTACCATCACATTAGTCCAGACTAGAACCAAGAAGTACCATCACATTAGTCCAGACTAGAACCAGGAAGTACCATCACATTAGTCCAGACTAGAACCAGGAAGTACCATCACATTATTCCAGACTAGAATCAGGAAGTACCATCACATTAGTCCAGACTAGAATCAGGAAGTACCATCACATTAGTCCAGACAAGAACCAGGAAGTAGCATCACATTGGTCCGGACTAGAACCAGGAAGTACCATCACATTAGTCCGGACAAGAACCAGGAAGTAGCATCACATTAGTCCAGACTAGAATCAGGAAGTACCATCACATTAGTCCAGACTAGAACCAGGAAGTACCATCACATTAGTCCAGACTAGAACCAGGAAGTGCCATCACATTAGTCCAGACTAGAACCAGGAAGTGCCATCACATTAGTCCAGACTAGAATCAGGAAGTACCATCACAGTCCAGACTAGAATCAGGAAGTACCATCACATTAGTCCTGACTAGAACCAGGAAGTAGCATCACATTGGTCCGGACTAGAACCAGGAAGTACCATCACATTAGTCCAGACTAGAACCAGGAAGTACCATCACATTAGTCCAGACTAGAACCAAGAAGTACCATCACATTAGTCCAGACTAGAACCAGGAAGTACCATCACATTAGTCCAGACTAGAACCAGGAAGTACCATCACCACCCACAAGCAGCGTTTCCGTCGAATTGTTATTCACGCGGGTGGTAATGACGTTCGGCGGAAACAGTCCGAGGTGTTGAAGCTGCAAGTCGCCGCCGTGTGCAAGCTGGCTAGCACAATGGCCGACACTGTCATCTTCTCTGGGCCCCTACCTAGCACTAGCAGTGCAGAAGCATTCAGCAGACACTCGGCTTTCAACCGCTGGCTGTCTGGCTGGTGCCCTCGAAGTGGTGTTGTTCATGTTGACAATTGGAGTGCCTTTTGGGGAAAGCCCGGTCTCATCCGCTCGGATGATATCCACCCAACGTTGGCGGGTACATCCCTTTTGGCTACGAATTTGGCCCTGGCTCTAAACTGTTCTGCTCGGCTCAAATGACGGTGCAGAACTGAGGCCCGGGTGCAGAGCTGCTCTGCCACAACCTCTGAGCCCCCATCTGTTCAGTTACTAGCCTCAGAAGCTAGTCAGATTGAAACTGTGTGTGCATGTGTGTGTGTGCCTGTGTGGGCTCAGTTACTAGCCTCAGAAGCTAGTCAGATTGAAACTGTGTGTGCATGTATGTGTATGCCTGTGTGTGCTCAGTTACTAGCCTCAGAACCTAGTCAGATTGAAACTGTGTGTGTTCCTCGCTTGAAGTCTAAAGCACTATATGCGAGGAAATCTGACCTGGGTGTCAGACACAGTAACTTAATAAAAGTTCAGACAGACAGAAATAGTTCTAGCGGTAGGGTTGTTAAATGTGGTTTAATGAACGTCAGATCAATCTCGTCTAAATCGCTTCTCATAAACGAACTTATTATAGACAAGGGCTTGGATTTGTTTGCGCTCTCGGAGACTTGGCTCCAACAGGACGACTACGTTAGATTGAATGAGTGCACTCCTCCGACGCATGTTAACTACCAGAAAGCCAGAGCTACAGGTCGCGGCGGTGGTGTTGCGATTATATCACACACCAACTTGGTTCTTAGTCCCAAAACCAACAACGCTTTTCACTCGTTTGAAAACTTAACACTTTCAATCACCTGTCCTGGGTGGAGAAAACAAAAAGCAGTACTATTTATAGTTTTATACCGACCTCCTGGTCCTTACAGCGAGTTCCTAACAGAATTCTCAAACTTCATTTCAAACCTAGTTTTGGAATGGGAAAACATAGTTATAACTGGAGACTTCAATATACATGTGGACGACAGCACTGACAGCTTAAACAAAGCTTTCAGCGCCGTACTAGATGGTGTTGGTTTTACTCAGAATGTCGAGGAACCTACTCACATTCATAACCACACCTTGGACCTTGTCCTGACCTACGGCTGTGATGTCTCCAATGTTGACATCCAGCGTCAAAGCTCGTTGCTGTCTGACCATTTCTTGATCACGTTTGATCTCGCTTTGGAGGACTTTCCTGTCCCGCAAGATAAAACCATAATGAAAAGAACCTTAAATGATAAATCTATCACAAGGTTCAAAGAACTAATACAGCCTATGTTGAATACTGCTGCAGGTGAACCTGTTCACAGCTGCTGCAGTCCCTCAGTCATTGACCAAACGGTGGACAACACTATGGAGTCTTTAAAATCTGCATTAAATGCAGCAGCTCCTTTAAAACAGAAAACCATTAGGATTAGATCATCGTCGCCCTGGTACAGTGTTCAACTCCACACTTTAAAACAGGACGTCAGAAAATTGGAGAGGCTATATTGCCACTCCCACTCGGAGCCTGTCCACAGGGAGTGGAAAGCAGGTCTCCGAAACTATAAGAATGCCCTTCGCAGGGCTCGAACTCAATACTATTCAACTTTAATAGAAGCGAATAAAAACAACAGTAGATTTTTGTTTGGCACCGTCGCTAAACTCACAAACTGCCATAGCGCAATCGAGCCTAAAATTCCAAGCTCACTGAGCAGTGTCGACTTTCTCCACTTCTTTAATAATAAAATTACATCCATCCGTGACAAGCTGGAGGAGGTTGCTCCTGCTGTTAGTGGTGGACAGGCTGAAGCGGCATACGTGACTTCCCACTTAGACTCTTCAGTGGGCCTTAATAAATTCATGGCTGTGAGCCAAGCAGAGGTGATCTCTGTGGTCACATCCTCAAAAGCCTCAACTTGCATGTTAGACGCAGTCCCGACATGGCTCTTCAAAGACATACTTCCTTTGATAATTGAGCCTATCGTAAATATAATAAACGCATCCATACAATGTGGCTATGTCCCACAAGCTTTTAAAACCGCGGTAATCAAACCCCTTCTGAAGAAAACAAACCTGGACCCAGAAATACTTACAAACTACAGACCGATCTCAAACCTCACTTTTATATCTGAAATCCTGGAAAAACTTATAGCTGAGCAGCTCCGCTGCCACCTGCAGGAAAATGATATGTTTGAAGTCTTTCAATCAGGATTCAGAGCTCATCATAGCACTGAAACGGCACTAGTCAAAGTCACAAATGACTTACTACTAGCTGCCGATAATGGACAAGTGTCAGTGCTGGTCCTACTGGACCTTAGTGCTGCATTTGACACAATAGACCACAGCATTCTACTGCAGAGGCTAGAATGTGATATAGGTCTTAGAGGAACAGCCCTTGGCTGGTTTAAATCCTATTTATCAGATCGATATCACTTCGTCAATGTGAATCAGGACTCGTCGCCTTATTCTGGAGTGGAATTCGGTGTGCCGCAGGGTTCGGTACTCGGACCGATTCTTTTTACTCTCTACATGCTGCCACTGGGAAACATTATTAAAAAGCATGGAATTAATTTCCACTGCTATGCAGATGACACACAGCTTTATCTGTCGATGAAGCCTAATCAGACAGATCAGCTAGAAAAGCTCAGTGCCTGCATAAAGGACCTTAAAATGTGGATGACTCTTAACTTCCTACTTCTCAACCCGGAGAAGACAGAAGTGATCCTACTCGGTCCGAAGCGCCTGCGTGACTCCCTCACTAACCAGATGGTTACTCTCGATAATGTCAGTATAATACCCAGTAACACTGTGAGGAATCTTGGAGTCATTTTTGACCAAGAACTCTCCTTCAAGGCTTATATAAGCCAAGCAACTAAAACGGCGTACTTCCACTTACGGAACATCGCTAAAATTAGGAATTTCCTTCCTAAAAGTGACGCGGAAAAACTCATTCACGCGTTTGTCACCTCAAGGCTCGACTACTGTAACGCTTTACTGGCAGCGTGCCCTAAAGCGTCTTTGAAGAGCTTCCAGCTCGTTCAGAATACAGCAGCTAGGATCTTAACAGGTACCAAAAGGAGGGAGCACATAACTCCGGTGTTAAAATCACTCCACTGGCTCCCTGTGGAGTACAGAATAAAGTTTAAAATCCTACTCTTAACATATAAAGCCATAAATGGCTTGGCTCCTTCTTATCTCCAAGACACGTTAGTGTCGTATCAACCAGGTCGAGCGTTGCGCTCACAAAACGCCAGACGTCTGGTGGTCCCTAAGGTCTCAAAGGTCACTGTTGGTGGCAGAGCATTTAGCTACCAAGCTCCTTTACTGTGGAATCAGCTTCCCATTTATGTTAAGGAAGCAGATACGGTCTCCACATTCAAGGCCAGGCTTAAAGCACTTTACTTTAATTTAGCATATAATTAGGTAATATATAATATGTAGTGTATATATTATATATATATGCTGTATTATGTTATATATTATGTTATATATTATTCAATAATGTATTGTGTTATGTTGTATATTATGTTATATATTATGCTGTATGTTATTCTTTATTCAAGGCTAGGTTTAAAACAGTCCTCTTTAGTTTAGCATATGGCTAGGAAGGTAAGACTCGGAGAAGGTTAAACTCCTCAGAGTGTTAGTCAAGCTGCATAGGGAGTCAGTTTGCTGGGAGAAGTATGGTAACTTGAGCACTATCCTCTCCTCCTTCCTACTTTATCTGTTTAGCATTTTTAGGATTCTGACTGTAGTTTGTTCATTGCTATTCACCCGTTGTCCCATTGTCTGTTTCATGGTACGATGACGGGATCTCTGAGCCTGGCCTCCTCCATCTACACCTGCGGACTGCCCCGCCCGACCCGCCTGGGAGTGCTTCGGTCCTGCACCGGACCTGTCCACGTTCAGCGGCCACTGGTCCACGTTCTGTAGCTAGCTTAGGTCCTGGATCATTAGCCTGTCCGTCCGGAGGAGCGGATCCCTTTCTCATATGGGTCTCCCTCCCTGTGGGTTTCCCTAGTGCTCCCCAAGGTTTCTCACTTTTTCCCACTGGGTTTTTTAAGAGTTGTTCCTTGTCGATGCAGGAGGGTCTTGTTGGACAGTTAGTGTCCAACAGAAAGGATTGGTGATGATCAGGACACTTTAGCATTCTACAACATGTATGGACATTTTCTTCTGTGTGTGCTTTATATTCTTCATGTGTTTTAACTGTTGATTCTCTGACCTGTGTTGGTGATTTCAATGGTTTTGTTAAGTCTCTGAGATGACTTCTGTTGTGACCTAGGGCTATACAAGAATAAATTGTATTGTATTGTATTGTACATTAGTCCAGACTAGAATCAGGAAGTACCATCACATTAGTCCAGACTAGAATCAGGAAGTACCATCACATTAGTCCAGACAAGAACCAGGAAGTAGCATCACATTAGTCCAGACTAGAATCAGGAAGTACCATCACATTAGTCCAGACTAGAATCAGAAAGTACCATCGCATTAGTCCCGACCGGAACCAGGAAGTAGCATCGCATTAGTCCAGACTAGAACCAGGAAGTACCATCACATTAGTCCAGACTAGAACCAGGAAGTACCATCACATTAGTCCAGACTAGAATCAGGAAGTACCATCACATTAGTCCAGACTAGAACCAGGAAGTACCATCACATTAGTCCAGACTAGAATCAGGAAGTACCATCACATTAGTCCAGACTAGAACCAGGAAGTACCATCACATTAGTCCCGACCGGAACCAGGAAGTGCCATCACATTAGTCCTGACTAAAACCAGGAAGTAGCATCACATTAGTCCAGACTAGAACCAGGAAGTAGCATCATATTAGTCCAGACTAGAACCAGGAAGTAGCATCATATTAGTCCAGACTAGAATCAGGAAGTACCATCACATTAGTCCAGACTAGAATCAGGAAGTACCATCACATTAGTCCAGACTAGAATCAGGAAGTACCATCACATTAGTCCATACTAGAACCAGGAAGTACCATCACATTAGTCCCAACCGGAACCAGGAAGTACCATCCCATTAGTCCAGACTAGAATCAGGAAGTACCATCCCATTAGTCTCTCACAGGGACTAGCCTCTGAGATATCTGCTGCTGTGATTAAGGGCTGTACAAAAATACATTGAATGGAATTAAAATTAACAGACAAGTCAAAAAAAAAGGCAGAAAGAAGCTTGATTCCCTGGGCCAGTTTCCATGTTCCTCCTGTATCTGTGTCGGTTTCCTCCAGGTGCTCCAGGTTCCATTACCACTAAAATCCTATATAACTGTTAAGAGGTGATGAGTTTGTGTTTCTGTGAGTGCGGCAGTGGAATGGTTTAGCCTGGTTTTGGTTCCAACCTGGGTTTGAATCCCGGTTGGAACGGGGTCTTTCTGAGTGGAGTTTGCATGTTCTCCCGAGCTTGCGTATGTTTCCTCCAGGTACTCCGGGTTTCCCCTACCACTAAAAACATGCTCACTAGGTTAAATCCTCCAGCTCCGGTCCTGACCAAGCCGAGCATCAACATGTGGAGATGGGTTCCCGGGCGCTGTTACTACGGCGACCACTGCTCCTGACGTGCGATTATGAGGAGGTTCTACTAGTCCAAACTCACCGTCTTCTTGTGTCTTCAGATGAGGTCTTCTCGGACGTCCCGGACCCCGCCTGGATGGCCCGGCTGTCCGTGCCGCTCTCTACTGATTACCATGACAACGTCTTTGTCCCCAACGGGCCACCGTCCACCGACAGCGAGCTCCTCCCCCCGGACAGACTGGACTCCTCCTCCTCCTTCTCCACTTTTGGTAAAAGTTATTCTCCATGTTTTTACCCGGGTCACTGTGGGGGTAAAGTATGAGACAGAACTTTCTCGAGACAACATCTAATTAGCTAAATTTTTACCATAAATTATATGATTGATTTTTTTTTTTTACTTATTGTTATTGATTTTTCAAGGCCATTAAAAAATTTACAATACAGTGTTTCACATTATACACTGACACTTAGTCCCCTTTTTTTATAAACAACAAAAACAAAACAACTAATTTATCTGTGTGATTCTATGCAATTTATTTACTTTTTGGGACTATAGTTTCTCATGTTTGTCTGAAATGTTCCTAAGCCAAATGTAAACACATGTGACAAGACCTTAGCACAGGCTTGGCAACGTCTGCGCAGCGCCTCCGTATAAGCAGGGCCTCAGTTCTCGACCCAGTGAGTGACGGCTGTGCTCTCTCTCCTCCACAGGGAAGTCTGTGGACCGGGACGAGGAGCCGCTGAACGGGGCCTTGCTGTCGGAGGTGAGCTCCTTGTTCCAGATGCTCATGACCCAGAAGGGCGGCTCCAGGCTGGGCCCCCCTCCGGACGTCCTGTACCGGCTCTCCAACGCCTACCGCCAAAGCAAACAGCAGAGGGCAGAGCTGCACCAGTGACCCCCACCATCAAGGACCTCTGAGGCATCAGCACAGTAGAATGTATTAGGGCTGGGAACAATGTGACGATTTGAAAGTATTGCGATATTTGGGCCACAATTATCGCGATTCTTAACATATCGCGATACAGTCAGTTTTGTGATTCAATTCTGTGATAGATTCATCATGTCCCTCATATTATATCGTAGAGTCACAACAAGCAGACATCATAGAGTCACAACAAGCAGACATCATAGAGTCACAACAAGCAGACGTCATAGAGTCACGACAAGCAGACGTCATAGAGTCACAACAAGCAGACGTCATAGAGTCACAACAAGCAGACATCATAGAGTCACAACAAGCAGACATCATAGAGTCACAACAAGCAGACATCATAGAGTCACAACAAGCAGACGTCATAGAGTCACAACAAGCAGACATAGAGTCACAACAAGCAGACATCATAGAGTCACAACAAGCAGACGTCATAGAGTCACAACAAGCAGACATCATAGAGTCACAACAAGCAGACATCATAGAGTCACAACAAGCAGACATCATAGAGTCACAACAAGCAGACGTCATAGAGTCACAACAAGCAGACATAGAGTCACAACAAGCAGACATCATAGAGTCACAACAAGCAGACGTCATAGAGTCACAACAAGCAGACATCATAGAGTCACAACAAGCAGACGTCATAGAGTCACAACAAGCAGACGTCATAGAGTCACGACAAGCAGACGTCAGAGTCACAACAAACAGACATCATAGAGTCACAACAAGCAGACATCATAGAGTCACAACAAGCAGACATCATAGAGTCACAACAAGCAGACGTCATAGAGTCACAACAAGCAGACATAGAGTCACAACAAGCAGACATCAGAGTCACAACAAGCAGACATCATAGAGTCACAACAAGCAGACATCATAGAGTCACAACAAGCAGACATCATAGAGTCACAACAAGCAGACGTCATAGAGTCACAACAAGCAGACGTCATAGAGTCACGACAAGCAGACGTCATAGAGTCACAACAAGCAGACGTCATAGAGTCACAACAAGCAGACGTCATAGAGTCACAACAAGCAGACATCATAGAGTCACAACAAGCAGACGTCATAGAGTCACAACAAGCAGACATAGAGTCACAACAAGCAGACATCAGAGTCACAACAAGCAGACATCATAGAGTCACAACAAGCAGACATCATAGAGTCACTACAAGCAGACATCATAGAGTCACTACAAGCAGACATCATAGAGTCACTACAAGCAGACGTCATAGAGTCACTACACAAGCAACGTCATAGAGTCACAACAAGCAGACGTGATATAGTCACAACAAGCAGACGTCATAGAGTCACTACAAGCAGACATCATAGAGTCACTACAAGCACACGTCATAGAGTCACAACAAGCAGACGTCATAGAGTCACTACAAGCAGACGTCATAGAGTCACAACAAGCAGACGTCAGAGTCACACAAGCAGACTAGAGTCACTACAAGCAGACATCATAGAGTCACTACAAGCAGACATCATAGAGTCACTACAAGCACACGTCCATAGAGTCACAACAAGCAGACGTGATATAGTCACAACAAGCAGACGTCATAGAGTCACTACAAGCAGACATCATAGAGTCACTACAAGCACACGTCATAGAGTCACAACAAGCAGACGTCATAGAGTCACTACAAGCAGACGTCATAGAGTCACAACAAGCAGACGTCAGAGTCACTACAAGCAGACATCATAGAGTCACTACAAGCAGACATCATAGAGTCACTACAAGCACACGTCATAGAGTCACAACAAGCAGACGTCATAGAGTCACAACAAGCAGACGTCATAGAGTCACTACAAGCAGACGTCATAGAGTCACAACAAGCAGACGTCAGAGTCACAACAAGCAGACGTCATAGAGTCACATAATCCTCATTTGTAACTTACTAGAGTAAACTAAGAAAACACAAAAGTAAAGCTGATAATTAGTGAATTAAATATCGCAATATTTTACTGTACTGTATCGATTTAATTGTGTGCTCAAAATATCGCGATACTTCACAGAATGGTTTTTTTCCCCCACCGCTGGAATGTTTTTTACCCAGACTGAAACGGACCAGGCTTTGGAACGAGGAAACGGACTCATGCTATTCACAAATGTGTCGTTCCGTTCAGTGGCGTCGTGTTTGTTTTTAATGAATGTTCAGGCAACACAATGACTACTGTAGTGGACCAAACAGAAGGCAAGGACCACAGGTGTCAAATCATCTCTGGTTTAGATCAGAAAAATATATGATTTAACAAAAATCAAATATTTGCGGCATACTAAACTGAACTAAAGAAAAACCAACCCACCAAGAACTAAGGAGAGGCCTAAATACGAGAGGTGTAGCCCAAATTAACAGCAAAAGGGTAAATGCTAAGTAAGTAAATGTTTAATGTGCAGCAGTTTTTCTCTTTCCCCCTCCGAGTCTTTTGGACCGGTGGACTCTCTCAGTGTATAAAATGGCCAACAACCCTCCAGTCTTGTCCTTTGGCTTGCCTGATAAAAAAGAGACTTGTAAGTGATGGTTCAGAGAAAGAAAAATAGAAGTGAAGTGACCGAAAATAGTAATGTTGTGGAGTGGTGGCAGAAGAATCCACATTGATCAATATTTATTACATGACTCCATTTTAAGCAGAGTTTTTGCCAACTCCTGGTCCTCTACTCAAAGGTTATGGACTAAGAAGGTCCACTGCTGTCATTTGGAGTTTTAAGACATAACAAAGCCTCACAAAGAGCTGGTAGTGGCCGATAAACAACATGGATATTGAGTCATTATGAGTGTAGATCTAAAGAAGTCTCAGGTTAAAACGAAACGATCAAAACGACGAGCTGCTCACATTCCTTTGTCCGGGTTTATTAAGCACTTGTGTTTGTAGCTTCTCTTCTAAATATGTCCCGTTGTCTGAGTCAGGAAGTGGAGACACAAAATGGCCGCCGACGGACACGCATTCTTTTTGTGTTTCTTCCAAAGAGTTTTCTGTCCAAAGACATCAATGTGTTCTGTGTTGTTGTTTTCACCCAAATGTTGTAAAGCACTTTGTAAATAATGTTTTGTATCGAGTTTTGAATAAAGTACATTTTGTTTTAAAAATGGATCCGTCCTTTTTGTCTAAACGTGATCTTTTTGTCTTTTTTACTGTCATTGTGTGGCTTCAATTACATATCCCTGTTGGATGTTAGCTACTTAATCTTCATAAGATTTGAAGCAGAAAACTAAAAGGTCTTCTTATCAGTCACCGGTCTTTACTCTTGCTGAATCCCCTCGCACCGTGATCCTCTGCAGTAGGGGTGTCCAAACTATTTCTGAAGAGGGCCACTTTTGTTCACCAGACTTCTCCAGGGTCCAACAACACTGAGCTACACAACTGGGTTTGTCCATATAGATTCACTGGTGATACACTGATGCCATTTTGTGAAAAAATCATAATCATGTCAGAAAATAGAAATAAAGGCTCAATTCCAAAGGTTTTGAGCTTTACAATGAGGTACAGCATGACTTTATTGTTGGAGCTGAAGTTTTCTGGATGACACTATGAATTGCCTCGATGGCGAATTTGGGTTAGTAAGTCAGAGGGCCACTGAAAATGACACATTGGGCCGCATTTGGCCTGAGGACTGAGTCTGAACCCTGAGGACCGAGCCTTCTGAACCCTGAGGACCGAGACTTCTGAACCCTGAGGACCGAGCCTTCTGAACCCTGAGGACCGAGACTTCTGAACCCTGAGGACCGAGACATCTGAACCCTGAGGACCGAGCCTTCTGAACCCTGAGGACCGAGACTTCTGAATCCTGAGGACCGAGAGTTCTGAATCCTGAAGACCGAGACTTCTGAACTCTGAGGACTGAGCCATCTGAACCCTGAGGACCGAGCCTTCTGAACCCTGAGGACCGAGCCTGAACCCTGAGGACCGAGCCTTCTGAACCCTGAGGACCAAGCCCTCTGAACCCTGAGTACCGAGCTTTCTGAACCCTGAGGACCGAGCCTGAACCCTGAGGACCGAGCCCTCTGAACTCTGAGAACCGAGCCTTCTGAACCCTGAGGACCGAGCCTTCTGAACCCTGAGGACAGAGACTTCAGAACCCTGAGGACCGCGTCTGAACCCTGAGGGCCGAGACTTCTGAACTCTGAGGACCGAGCCATCTGAACCCTGAGGACCGAGCCCTCTGAACCCTGAGGACCGAGCTTTCTGAACCCTGAGGACCGAGCCTGAACCCTGAGGACCGAGACTTCTGAACTCTGAGGACCGAGCCTTCTGAACCTTGAGAACCTAGTCTGAACCCTGAGAACCTAGTCTGAACCCTGAGGACCGAGCCTTCTGAACCCTGAGGACCGAGACTTCTGAACCTTGAGGACAGAGACTTTTGAACCCTGAGGACCGAGCCTTCTGAACCCTGAGGACCGAGCCTTCTGAACCCTGAGGACCGAGCCTTCTGAACCCTGAGGACAGAGACTTTTGAACCCTGAGGACTGAGCCTTCTGAACCCTGAGGACCGAGCCTTCTGAACCCTGAGGACTGAGCCTTCTGAACCCTGAGGACCGAGCCTTCTGAACCCTGAGGACCGAGTTACTGGGAGTAACTGCAGTTACTTAGGCCTAAGTAACTGCAGGTTAATACCTAAACTAAAGGATATGAAAGAGGCACGAGAGCAGGGGTCCACATGGTATTGGACCATAGGGAGAGACCACATGGTATTGGTCCATTTGGAGAGACCATGTTGTATTGGTCCATATGGAGAGACCACATGGTATTGGTCCATTTGGAGAGACCACATGGTATTGGTCCATCGGGAGAGACCACATGGTATTGGTCTATAGGGAGAGACCACATGGTATTGGTCCATCGGGAGAGACCACATGGTATTGGTCCATTGGGGGAGACCACATGGTATTGGTCCATCGGGAGAGACCACATGGTATTGGTCCATAGGGAGAGACCATGTCCATACGTTGTAGAAAGTT